GATTTTAAAGGGATACTCGCCGAAAAGTGTGGGTACCTACTGACCTGCAAAACAACTAGCTAATATAATAAACATCTAAAACTGAACCTTACCTTAAACCTGACCCTAACCTAATTTTAACCAATTCTGAAATTAAATAGCCTATCGGTTTGCAGTTCAGGAGTTAAATGGTGTTAAAAAACACGTAAACAAATACAAAACAAGAACAATGTAACCAGTCTAATAATGCTTGTGACCGGACGAGGGTAGCTGAAGATAGTGTTACAATTTTCCTTAATTGGGTGCAATGCTCCTAAACAAGTAAGCTGTTATTTGAGATATACCTATATATTCGATTAAATACATGTAAATGAGAATTCTCTCTGAACGACCAATCATTTTGTAGCCTAATGGTTGTTTTGTGTAGTGTATCCAGTAGCACCATTCAAATTGTTCCAAGATAATGTGGGGATTCATCTCATAGCGATTCATATGAGAAACGGAAGGCAAATTGCTTCCAAATAGTGCCAAAAAAAATAAAAGTAACAACTTGCTTGAAAATAAATAACTTTTTTTCATTCATGTTATCTCTCACCTGGAAGATGCAGCTTTACACATATTTCGTCCCTTTCCTGGTCTCCATTATAATCTGACGTATCATAATTTTGTTCCACATACTGCGAATTAAATTCTAATCATAGCTCTCATTGGCTGATACAATCATCCAATCGAGAGAGCCAAAAACAAAACAAAACCATACAAGTTCACATACTGTTCATATCAAATAACTGAAATAAAAGGCTTTGAAAATAAACAATACATAGTGGGTTGTTATCCACTCAAAATGGCTACAGAGACAGAAGTCTGATAACAAACAAGTTAAATCCTTCATTTGTAACTAAATCAATTTAAACACAAATAAAATGTGTCGCTTTGCTTAATATGTGCCCCATAAGCCTCACAATAGCAAACTATACACAACAGGATTGTTAGGTTAGGCGTAGGCCTGGGAGTTCACAATGGCAGAAGAGCAGAGAAACAAATACAACAGCAACCGATAAAGAACCATGTAACAGGTCGTGTAAATGAACATGCAATAATATATACTTAGGGCTTTTAGTTAATAACCAGACACGTAGCTTAAAAGCCTGCCATATATTAAGTTACAATTGATATCACTAATCATTACCACCATGACATAAAAAACGTCTGACAAACTAGCATCACTTTTTCTTTTTTTCCCCATTCCGTCAATTTGATTTTGCACATTGAGGCGGACTGAGCCTTCTGTCTCTTGTTTTTAATGGCAATGTTTGATTGTCACTTTTTGGGGTATAAAGCACATGCTGGTTCCAACCCCAGTAGTTATCATCCCTACTTTTATTCCAAAAACGACAGTGCAGCAAAAGTCTCTCTATGCGTCTGGTTGTCGACTGCACGCATACGTCGATAGTGGACGAAGACGGGATGCAACTGAATTGTTGAGCTGATAGTGCCCCTCCTTCCTTCCTTCTCATTTTACATTTAAGTCATTTAGCAGACGCTCTTATCCAGAGCGACTTACAAGAGCAATTAGGGTTAAGAGCCTTGCTCAAGGGCACATCGACAGATTTTTCACCTAGTCGGCTCAGGGATTAGAACCAGCGACCTTTCGGTTACTGGCACAACGCTCTTAACCACTAAGCTACCTGCCGCCTTTTCTCCTCCCTCTCTTCTCTACATAGCCATGGTGGTGAGGTGCTGAGGTTAAGATAAAGGCGAAAGAAACTGCATCTACATATAGTCACTCTTAGTGATTATGTGCGTCAAGGCGTTATTCCACGGGGACTCAGGTGGCAAAAAGAACCATCATTGGGACAGCGCACAGATGATTTCTGTGAGCGCTGGTGTGCCATCCTGAACAAATAAATGCTCTATTGATTTAATGATATTAATTGTTGACCAGTTGAAAAATGATTTTATTGAAATGGTTACCACGATTGAAGAGAAACGCACAGCTCTGCAAATAGCTGTTAATGATGATGGCATATTCAATGAATTGATGAAAAATAACCAAGCGCTCCAGGACAAGTTGTCTATAGAATTAAAGGAGCTTAAAATCAAGAAATTCAACCAAGACAAAAAAGACAAGGCCGAGGACAAAGTCTACTTCTGGAGAAACCCTGACAAAATAAGTCCTGCTCCTCCTCTCCATGACAGACGCAGGAGGGGGCCCGCTAACTTCTATCCACTCCCGTCTGACCAACGCTCTACAACCAGCGCCTCATCCGCTTCCAGTGCCAGTTTTTTATCCAACGAGAGACTGGGCCGACGGAAGCGCGGAGGTGGCCGCGGTCACGTGTATCGACGAGATGCCGTACACGACTGGGTAAGAAGAAACGACAACCAGAGGCAGAGGGGGCCGTTCACACCGTCCCAGAACCCACGGGACTGAGTGTCTTTAATTTATCAAGCAAGATATTGAGTCCTGCCCATGTATCCTTGCTTAATAAAGGGTTATCTTTTGTGCCTACGACTCAGTGCAACGATTTCGATGTTAATGTAGACATGTTTAAGTTTTTTTTTGAAACATCCGTTTAAGGGAATACTTCAGCTCCCCTAATCGTGATATGTCAACTGAACATGTAGGTGGCTCACCTGCACATACTCCGACTCCTTTCAGAAGTAAGCGTTATTTTGTACCTCCAACCAATCGCAATCACTCTATTGAGACATATTGCACTCGTTGAAAAAGATGTTGGTAATCTCCTTAAGAACAAACCGGAGTACATATCTTTCCAAAATGTACCCAAGGATGAAAAACAAGCTTTGCTTGATTTACAATCCGATTCGTCAGTTCTTACCCGCCCTGCTGATAAGGGTGGGTCAGTTGTACTCATGGATAGGACAGTTTATGTAAATGAGTGTCACAGACAACTGCTTGACAACACATTTTACAAGAAACTCAGAAGTGACCCCACTTCCCAATTTCAGAACACTATCTTTTCTGTCCTAGATGGGTATTTAAGTTCTGGTCAAATCACCAAAAAAGAACACGATTTTTTGGCTATTCAACACCCTAAAATTGCCACTTTCTATACTTTGCCGAAATTACACAAGAATGTTACAAAACCTCCAGGGCGCCCTATTGTAGCAGGCATTGATGCAGTAACAGCCCCTTTATCGACCTTTGTTGATTTTTTTATTAGACCTCTCGCAGAACAGCTCCCCTCCTTTGTAAAGGACACCAGCAGTATGATCTCTATTATTGAATCTCTTGATCCTCTCCCTGATAATACCTTGTTAGTTACTTTTGATGTTGAGTCGTTATACACGAATATTCCACACGAGGGCGGTATTGAAGCCATGGAACATTTTGTTCTGCAACGTGACCCTAATGAACTACCTTCCAGTGCATGCATTATAACATTGGCTGAAATAGTACTCACACACAACTACTTCATGTTTCTAAATGATTTCTTTATTCAGACGAAGGGTACAGCTATGGGATCCCCTATGGCTCCTAACTATGCTAATTTGTATGTGGGTTACATTGAGAAACAGTCAATTTTCAATCCTCTCAAAAATGTTTTCTTGCCTAACATTATTATTTGGAAACGGTACATTGATATTTTTGTTCTATGGAGGGGTGATTCGAAACAGCTCCAGGCATTCCATGCTTTTCTTAACTCTTGTTCTGAGCACCTGAGATGTACTATGCAATCTGACACACGTCAAATCAGTTTCCTTGATCTTCTGATTTTGTGTGAGGATAATGTTCTATACACTGATCTTTACAGGAAACCTACTGACCGTAACAGTTTGTTGAGGGCGGACAGTTGTCACCCGCTTTCCTTGAAAAACAGTTTGCCCTACAGCCAATTCTGTCGAATCAAAATAATTTGTAAAAAACAATCAGATTTCGACCGTAATATGGCTGAGACGCAAAGAAAATTCAAGGAGAGGGGGTACAAAAATGGTCAGATTAATACTGCCATTGAGAAAATTCAAAACAAATCGAGACCTGATCTCTTTCAAGGAAGTCTCGCAAAAAGAAGCATTCTTGCGTTCTAACCACACGCTATTCAAAGTGCTCTGAACAAATTAAGGGAATCGTTCACAAACATTGGCACATTCTAAGATCCGATGACAGTATTAGTAATGTGTTTTCAGACCCTCCCTTGGTTGTATTCTCGCGGGGCAGAAATCTCAGAGATCAATTGGTAAACTCTGATTTACCACCCCTAAATATCCCTGCACAACGTCTATTTGCGCCTCTACCGGATGTGCAATGGCACTTACAAATGTAGATCCTTCAAACACCCCCAAAGATCCCAATCAAAGGTGTTATTGCGTGCTCCACTAAGGCAGTTATTTATCTTATAACTTGTCCTTGTGGTAAAAATTATGTAGGTAAAACAAAGCGCGAATTAAAATTACGAATCTCGGAGCATCGTAGCAACATTAGGTGCAAAAACTCGACATACACAGTCGCTGCCCACTTTTTAGAAGTGAACCACTCGATTTCTTCCCTACGTTATATCGGCATCGAACAGGTCACCCTCCCTAGGAGAGGGGGTGACCTCGACAACTTATTGTTAAAACGAGAGGCTGCCTGGATCTTTAATTTAAAGACCCTTGCTCCCTTCGGTCTCAACGTAGACTTTGATTTGAAGCCATTCTTGTGATTTTGCTATTCATTGTAAATGTTGTGGGCCTATGTAGCCAAGTATCTATGATCATATGCTATCCATGTTTTTTTGTATTTTGTTTTTATCTGTGAATTGGCCAATGCTATTAGGCCACACCCGGCCATGATTACAGACACCTGCGTGTGTCCTTTGACACTATATAAACTAGTGACCCCCAGTGTTTGTCATTATACCCTGATGAAGACAGCTTGTCTGTCGAAACGTTGATTATTAGGATATTAAATTATTGCATCTGAGCTCCTAGAGTGTGCAGCTTTCCTTTTCTTTTTCAGGTGAGGTGCTGAGGCCCTAGCAGGCCTTTGCGCACCCCTCCCGCTCCGGGGTGTCCCCCTACATTACCATAACCACAGTACTCCAGGAGGTTCTGCCATAGTGTGACCAGGGCGGACCCCAGGCAGGCGCGGTTAGGGGCCAGGATGCCCCCCGCAGCTGGATGAGGACGGTGGCCACCCCGGCTATGCTTTCGTCTGTGGGCTCCAGGGTGATGGGCCCCACTTTGAAGGTGGAGTAGGAGAAGCCCATGAGCTGGGACAGGAAGGGGTCGGAGAGGCAGAAGTGCTGGTACCCGCTGTGGGAGGACGGGTGGTGGTGGTGGGGACATAGTGGTGGGTGTTGAGGTAATGCAGGGGCAGGTGCTGCCCACTGTTGCCCCCTCCGCCCAGAGTAAGGTGGTGGACGGTGGGGCCGGAGCCTGGCTTGTGTTTGTAGGAGACGGCTCCAGCTCTCCCCCTCTGGCCAACTACAATTCCCCCCCAGCTTGCCTGTGCGTGCATGGGCCAGGGACACGGCACTGCCCCCCCCCCTCCGCCCCATGTGGAGGGCAGGTAGGTGAGCTGGGCCTCCTCTGGCTCCAAATAGACAGTGGTTTCATCACAGTAGCACACTCAAGATATCGATTTATAGCCATTAACCTAAAATAATTCATAGATTTTAAACAAAAAAATATTAATATGAGATGGAAGGAGAGCTCCTAACAAGTTCATGAAGCCAATCTAGAGCTCTGTGAGATGTTCACAGCAATGGGGTCAGATGTTTCGATCAAGAGAAACCTCTAGAAAATTTGCACATTTTCTCTAACACTAAATATACAAATATGTAATTTACAGTTATGAAGGTCACATTTTATCGTTAGTCATTTTAGAATTTCATTATGCTACGTTTAGAAGGCATCAGTCATTTCAAGCCTTATTCATACAATTTTGTTGAATAGGAAATACATAACATTTCATAATTGAATCATATTTGTACTGTGTATTTGAGCTTGTGTCCTCAAAAGTGACTACAACTCAGCAATTTAGAACTATTCTTACCAAAAAGGTGAGATTTTAACCTTTATTTGAGTATGAACTGTTTAGAAATTACACCACTTTTTGAACATAGTCCCCACATTTTAGGGGACCAAAAGTATTGGAACAAATTCACTTGTGTATTAAAATTAGTCAAAAGTGTAATATTTGGTCCCATATTCATGGCACGCAACGATTACATCAAGATTGTTACCCTACAAACTTGTTGGACGCTACCATGATTATGGATCGTCCAGAATGAATCGTGATTAATGAGTGATAAAGAGTACAGACGCACAAATATCATACCCCCAAGACATGCTAACCTCTCACCATTACAATAACAGGGGAGGTTAGGATTTTTTTTTTGTGGGGGGGGTATGATATGCCTAACTTTCTCACTCATTATTCACGATTCAGTCAGGACTGTCCGTAATAATGGCTGCATCCACATAATAATAATAATATAATAATAATAATAATAATAAGCCATTTAGCAGACGCTTTTATCCAAAGCGACTTACAGTCATGCATGCATACATTTTTTTGTGTACGGGTGGTCCCGGGGATCGAACCCACTACCTTGGCGTTACAAGCGCCGTGCTCTACCAGCTGAGCTACAGAGGACCACATGAATGTAGAAGTGTTTAAAAACATTATATTCTTATTTACAATAAAAGTTACTCCAAAATGACACTACACAATATTTACCATTCATTTCTATTGGGCACAAAATACTACCAAAGCAAACTGCAAATGCATCCAGTCACAAGCTTGATGTAAGCATTGCATTCTAGGAATATGGGACCAAATAATACACTTTTGACTACACATTAGTGAATTCGTCCCAATACTTTTGGTTCCCTTAAAATGGGGGGGGAATATGTACAAAAAAATGCTGTTCTTTCCAAACGGTTCACCAGCTATGTATGAAAATACCCGCAAAATAAAGCTGACAGTCTGCACTTTAACCTCATAGTCATTGTATCATTTCAAATCCAAAGTGCTGCAGTACAGAGCCAAAACATGTCACTGTCCCAATACTTTTGGAGCTCACTGTGTGACCCAACTGGAGGATTGCTAAAACATTGTGGCGTTACCATAAACAGGGGAGCAAAATTTCATTTGCATTTGTTGTCACATCTATCACTGACTAAAGAGATCAGACGCCCCTCCTATTAATTCATAAGAGTAACTGAGTTTCATAAAAGGAGTCATGTTAAAAATATACAGCAGAATCATTTAGGTTTACAACATCTAAGCAGGTGTTTGGAGAGGTTGGACTTGCGAGCAAAGCTGACAAAGCAGTGGGGGCAGGAATAACATTTCCCCTTGTGTATTTTCATGTGGCCTTTAACGTGACTCTGTTCATAAAAGCTCTTCCCACACTCTTGGCAGGAGTATGGCTTTACATCACGGTGAGTGTGGGTCCTCATGTGCAGGGTCAGAGAAGCAGAGCAGATAAACCGTTTGTGGCATTCAGAACATTCAAATGGCCTCTCCCCAGTGTGGAGGCGCTTGTGTTTGGCCAGATCTCCAGACTGAGTGTAGCTTTTACCACACTCTGTACAGGTGTATGGTTTCTCACCTGTGTGAGTGCGCTGGTGGTTCTTCAGGTGGTCGAGTCGGGAAAATTGCTTGTCACACACTGTGCAGTGGTAAGGCCTCTCCCCGGTGTGTGAGCGCAGGTGTATGTTCAGCACCCCAATCCTTATGAACTTCCGCCCACAAACCCCACAATGGTAGTTTTTCTGGTTGCTGTGGATCTTCAGATGAGTTTTCAGATAACCTTTGTCAGCAAAGTCTTTACCACACACCGTACATTTGAAAGGTCTCTCCCCTGAGTGCGTGCGCAGGTGAAGCTTCAGACTCTCCCTGTATGCAAACTGCCTGTCGCATTGGGAGCAGGAGTACTTCCTCTCACCAGAGTGAACAGTCATGTGTTTCCTGAGGAGCGACTTCTGTTTGAAAGACTTCCCACAGTCCTGGCATTTGAATGGCTTGACCCCATTGTGTATTAACAAGTGATAACGGTAAGCGCTGGTATCTGAGAAGCGCTTGCCGCACTCCTTGCAGACATAAGGCTTCTCTCCGGTGTGGATGCGCATGTGAGTGTTCAGGCTCGTAGGAGTAGTGAGGATCTTGCCACACTCTAAGCATTGGAAGCCGACTTCCAGACAGACCATCGGTTTAGTGTCCTTAGGTTTAGAACCCTCTGGTTCATGACACCGGTGAGGCCCCAGGCCCCAGCAATTCTCAAAGCTCTTCCCACAGTCCGCGCAACTAATGTGTCCATCGGTGAGAACAACGGCCATTTTGTGCAAACTCTTGCAGTGCTTCAGCAGGCTGCCCAGGTACTTGAATCTGCGGGAACACTGCGGGCAGGTGTGGAACTTCTCCTGAACCCTGTGGGGACGGGCAGGTTTCCGGGGAGGGGCAGGTTTTTGGGGAAGGGCAGAGGGGTGGGCCTTGCGGGTGTGAATGTCTAGCTGTCGTGGTGTATGGAACATGCAGCTACAGTGGGGACAGCTGTGTGTGGGGCCGTACACGGTTTTACTCTTTGAGACTTGGCTTTTCAACATGGCCAGGTACTGCTTCTGGTGTTTGGTCTTGATGTGGTTCTCCAGGAAGTAACAGTCAGTGAAGGAGATGGTGCAGTGTGGACAAGGAAAAAACTGAGAAGAACCTGAGAGTGAGGGATAGAGAGGGAGAGAAGAGATGGGTATGACAAGAGGGGAGGAAGGGAACTGTGTACAATAGTCATTGCCCATATCAAATTAAAACCTTATTAACCTCTTAAGGATCCGACCCCTTTTTTCAATTTTCGCCTAAAATGACACCCAAATCTAACTGCCTGTAGCTCAAGACCTGAAGCAAGGATATGCAAGTTGTTGTTGTGCACTCTCCTCAAACAATAGCATGGTATTTTTCCACTGTAATAGCTACTGTAAATTGGACAGTGCAGTTATATTAACAATAATTTGAGCTTTCTGCCCATGTAAGACATGTCTATGTCCTGGAAAGTTTGCTGTTACTTACAACAGTCATGCTAATCACATTAGCGCACGTTAACTCAACCGTCCCGTATACAGGACACCGATCACGTAGAGGTTAATATGAATGTTCCAGTAACCATCACCCATCTAAATTGCACTGTTGGGCGTAGACTGGAGTATGATAAACAATATGTCCTACCTCCATTGTTGCATTCATCCCTCCTGACATCAGTCTCCTCCTTCACCAAACACACTTTAATGTCTCTCAGAAGTGTCTTAACCACCACCTTGTGGATTAAAAAGAGACAGAAATTACAAGTATTCATTAACAATCTTAATGATATTGCCACAATACTAGACACATTAGAAAACACTAATCCTACTTACATCAGCCAACCTGGTTAGCACTACCACAGGATCCTTGTGGAGTGGACTAGAATCTGAATGAGGATTTGAATTGGTGCTCTTTGAGAGGGCTTGGGTAAAGTCTGATTCATCTCTGCCGGTGGAGTCATCGCCTGACTGTGGGTCATGTTCTGTGTGTGTTATACCCAGGTTTCCATGACGTTCAGTCCCCTTATTTGTGTGCAGTGGTTTAGTTTTTGCACATTGTTTGAGCTTCATCTTGTTGACTAAAGTGCCTCTAATGTAAACACTTTCCTCCTTACTGGCATTCTGAGTGAAAAGAGAAGCAGAGTTTCAGTGAGCATCAGCCTTACCAAGACAAGAGCTAGACTAGGTCAGGCACCATAAGGGAAACTCTTTTCATGGCACTTCGATACTTTAGTGACGTTTTCATAGCAGGTGAGGAGAACTTACACAGCAGGTTAGGATAATTAACATAGCAGGTTAGGAGACTGAAATTAAGGTTAGGAAAATGCTCTCCTTACCTGCTACGGAAATCACTTGGTATCGAAGTGCCATGAAAAGAGTGTGTCCCGGGACCATAACAGCCTATACACACACACACACACAACACTGCAGACTTAGGCTGCTATGCAAAGATGAAGAACACACAATCATGCATTATTAGCCAAAAGTCAAAACACTCAACTAACAAGGCTAGTAGTGTTAAATGACCATAAAACTTAAATTAATGGGCCGGGCATTTATTTTCTTAAATCACTCTATACAATAGGCGCTTATTAGAGACAGGCTTCTATTTGAGCCTGGCATCTACACTGAACAAAAATATGAATGCAAAAAAGTGTTGGTCCTATGTTTCATGAGATAAAACAATAGATCCAATTTTACATATGCACAAAATGCTTATTTCTCTAAAAACACTGTTGCACAAATGTGTTTACATCCCTGTTAGTGCGCATTTCTCCTTTGCCAAGATAATCCATCCACCTGACAGGTGTGGCACATCAAGAAGCTGATTAAACAGCATGATTACATTTACATTTTAGCCATTTAGCAGACGCTCTTATCCAGAGCAACTTAATCGTGAGTGCATACATTTCATACTTTATTTCTGTTTTCTGCACAAACGGTCAGAAACTCAGGGAAGCTCATCTGCGTGCTTGTCGTCCTCACCAGGGTCTTGACCTGACTGCAGTTCGGCGTCGTAACCGACTTCTGTGGGCAAATGCTCACCGTTGATGAACACAGGAGAAGTGTGCTCTTCACGGATGAATCCCAGTTTCAACTGTACATGGCAGATGGCAGACGTATGGCGTCTTGTGGGCGAGTGGTTTGCTGATGTCAATGTGCCCCATGGTGGCAGTGGGGTTATGGTATGTGCAGGCATAACCTAAGGACCACAAACACAATTGCATTTTATCGATGGCAATTTGAATGCACAGAGATACAGTGACGAGATCCTGAGGCCCATTGTCGTGCCATTCATCAGCCGCATTCACCTCATGACGCAAGGATCTGTACACAATTCTCAAAGCTGAAAATGTCCCAGTTCTTCCATTGCCTGCATACTCACCAGACATGTCACCCATTGAGCATGTTTGGGATGCTCTGGATCGCAGTGTACGACAGCGTGTTCCAGTTCCCCCCAATATCCAGCAACTTCGCACAGCCATTGAAGAGGAGTGGGACAACATTCCACAATCAACAGCCTGATCAACTCTACACGAAGGAGATGTTTCATGCTGCAAATGGTGGTCACACCAGATACTGACTGGTTTTCTGAGCCACGCCCCTACTTTTTTTAATTTATGTATATGTTACCAACAGATCCATATCTGTATTCCAAGTAATGTGAAATTCATAGATTAGGGCCCAATTAATGTATTTCAATTGACAGATTTCCTTATAACTCAGTAAAATCTTTGAAATTGTTGCATTTATTTTTGTTCAGTGTATTTTCTTAATGCACACAGCTTTGCATAGTTAATTGTTTAATTCCAGCATTCACTTCCAACATTTTAATAAATTGTATCACTTACACTGTCACGTTTCTATTGTCTTAGTATGGCTAAATAAAAATATATTCCTTGACAATAATTATTTTTCTCTTTCAATGTACATTTTCGGTAGTCATTACTTCCGCCACTAGAGGGCAATCAGCCGATTTTTAGGGATCTGTACTAACACAGTTTTGTACTTGCGAAAAGGCCTTTAAGTCATTATTGAATAATAAATGTAACAAATCAAACATTAAACCTCGTAAACAATACATGTTAACCACTTAATTAATTTAGACCTTGCGTTTATTTGAAAAAGGCGTATATTTGCTGAAATGTGTGCCGTTGCCCAGCTATTAAAGGGGACAGGCAGCTATTTGAGACGACGTTAAATTCAAGTTACCGTAGACAAGCTGTTTAGAATCTAGCTAGTAGATGTGGTCTTTGCTGGTTTAAAACGGCGCGAGCTAGCTACAAAAACACATATCACGTGGCGTGGTTTTGGTGAAACTTGGATAAACCAAATTACGGAGTTTGCTACATTTGACGATGGTCACCCACCCAACGTGTCACTTTTTTATAAAGACATCAACGATGAGAGTAAACTATTGTTTTCTAAGCAAAACGTTCACGGACAGAAGGGAAAATAGCTTCACTTACCTAATTCGATTCAAACCAAACACAGTGACCGGAAGACCGCTGTTTGCACTTCCTTTGCATTGGTGAAACATGACCAATCAGATAACGACCTCTCCTTATTCTTCAATGAGGTTTAACGGCGGTTGGCATCCAATTTGTTAAATTACCGCCACCTACTAGACTGGCGTACAACTCCCTTATCTGTCCTTGAAAAATAAAATAAAACAAAGAAATATCCTACCATCTAACACTACACTCACAACTTCAAAACTACTACTAATAATTAACCCCACCCTTCTCCACTATTTAAATATACTCACTCCTACCTCATGCCCTCAACCTGAAATGATGGGATATCACCACTTAACACTCCCTGTAACTCTTCTGCTGTCAAGTCTCGCACACCCAAATATCTCTCTGCAGCTGCCACCACAACCTCAATTTTCTTCGATTTGCATTCCATCCCTGCAGTACAATTAATAACCATTGCTATAAAACGCTAAAAACCCAATCTTACTGAAACATATATCACTTGCTTGCCTATCCCACTGTACTGGTATAGATCTCCTACTCTACTCTCACCACATTGATGTCTCTTATTCCACTTAAAAGAAAACATGCACAAAACCACACAGGTGTGTCATCTTTCCTGGACTTTTAATATTGTAGCCTACTCATCACCAGGACAGAGAGTCGGGCATCTTCTGTACATCACCGTTCCCTTCTTTAAAAAAACAAGAGCAAATGAAAAATACAATAAAATAAAAAAAGGTGTTAAATAACAAGTAAACGAAGCAACAAACACAAAACAAGACTATAACAATCTAACCAGTCTAATAATGCTTATGACCAGACTCGAGGGTAGCTAGATAGTTTTACAGTTTTCCTTAATTGGGTGAAATGCTACTACACAAGCTGTTATTTTTGTTATATATATATATATATATATATATATATATTTCGATGAAATACATGTAAATGAGAATTCTCTCTGAATGACCAATCATTTTGTAGCCTAATGGTTGTTTTGTGTAGTGTATCCAGTAGCACCATTCAGATTATCTTGGAACAATGGGGGGATTCATCTCGTAGTGATTCAGGAAAACGGAAGGCAAATTCCTTCCGAAGACTGCAAAAAAATTAACACACCCTCCTTGAAAATAACACTTTTTTCATTCATGTTCTCTCTCACCAGGAAGATGCAGCTTTGCACATATTTTGTCCCTTTCCTTGTCTCCATTATAATCTGACAATTTCCATACCATTTTTTTGTTCCACATACTGAATTTTTTTTCTTGTTCCATTTGTCACAAGACAAATCAAAAAAGCGAATTAAGTTCTAATCATAGCTCTCATTGGCTGTTAACAATCATCCAATCCAGAGAGCCAAAAACAAAACCATACAAGTTCACATACAGTTCATATCAAATAACTAAAATAAAAGGCTTAGAAACTAAACATTACATAGTGTTTTATGTTATCCACTCATAAATTGGCTACAGGGACAGAAGTCTGATAACAACCAAGTTAAATCCTTCATTTGTAACAAAATCAATTTAAACAGACATGAAATGTGTCAAATGTGTTGCTTTGCTTTATATGTGCTCCATAAGCCTCACAATAGGAAACTATACACAACAGGATTGTTAGGTGTAGGCCTGGGAGTTCACAAAGGCAGAAGAACCGAAGGCAGACGAGCAGAGAAACAAATACAACAGCAACCGATAAATAATCATGTAACAGGTCGTGTGAATGAACATGCACAAATATATACTTAGGGCTTTGAGTTAATAACCAGACACGTAGCTTAAAAGCCTGCCATATATTAAGTTCACTCATCATTACTACCATGATCTAAAAAACGTCTGACAAACTAGCATCACTTTTTCTTTTTTCCCCTATTCCGTCAATTTGATTGTTTTTAATGGCAATATTTGATTGTCACTTTTTGGGGTATAAAGCACATGCTGGTTCCAACCCCAGTAGTTATCATCCCTACTTTTATTCCAAAAACGACAGTGCAGCAAAAGTCTCTCTCTATGTGTCTGGTTGTCGACTGCACTCATACCTCGATAGTGGACGAAGACAGGATGCAACTGAATCGTTGAGCTGATATAACATGTAGTTGTAGTGCATTCTAGAGACAGCTGGCTTGGTCACGTGTAGCGTTTGAAATATAGTGATACATAACAGAATAAAATACACTCAATATTGAAACAGTGTATATACAGGCACGATCATATCAACTTCAACGGGCTCTTATATAACTTCCTCCTTTATGGCCTTTTTCATGTAACTCCCCATCTCTCTTCTAACCCCTTAACATCTTACTACCACATACCCCTCTCTATCTTTCCCCCTCTCTTCTCTACATAGCCATGGTGGTGAGGTGCTGATGCCCTAGCAGGCCTTTGCGCACCCCTCCCGCTCCGGGGTGTCCCCCTCCATTGCCGTGACCACAGTACTCCTGGAGGTTCTGCCGTAGTGTGACCAGGGCGGACCCCAGGCAGGCGCGGTTAGGGGCCAGGATGCCCCCCGGCAGCTGGATGAGGACGGTGGCCACCCCGGCCATGCCGTCGTCCGTGGGCTCCAGGGTGATGGGTCCCACTTTGAAGGTGGAGTAGGAGAAGCCCATGAGCTGGGACAGGAAGGGGTCAGAGCGGCAGAAGTGCTGGTACCCGCTGTGGGAGGACGGGTGGTGGTGGTGCGAGGCCGTGGTGTTGGCGGTGGTGGGGACATAGTGGTGGGTGTTGAGGTAATGCAGGGGCAGGTGCTGCCCACTGTTGCCCCCTCCGCCCAGAGTAAGGTGGTGGTGGTGGACGGTGGGGCCGGAGCCTGGCTCGTGTTTGTAGGAGACGGCTCCAGCTCTCCCCCTCTGGCCAACTACAATGCCCCCCAGCTTGCCTGTGCGTGCATGGGCCAGGGACACGGCACTGCCCCCCACCCCTCCGCCCCCTGTGGAGGGCAGGTAGATGAGCTGGGGCTCCTCTGGCTCCAAATAGACAGTGAGCTTGGCGAAGGGCCTGGACGCCATCTTGGTCATTTCCTGGATATGACGCCTCTGCTCTCGGCGGAAGTCCATGAACTGTTTAATCTTCCAGAGGAGGACGCAGACGGAGAGGAAGAGGAAGAAGCAGGAGAAGAAAACAGAGAAGAAGACGAACAGGTCGATGTGGGCCTGGTCCTGGCGGAGGAAGAGCAGGCCCTGGGACTCGCCCTGTCTCTCGTCGGTGCCTACCCCGCGCAGGGCGATGTAGAAGCGGCTGGACTTCAGGGAATGGACCTCATGGGGGAAGGTGATGACCACGCGGTCACGGACACCTCGAACGATCAGCACTGTCTGGGGCTTCCACACCGTGATGTAGGAGATGAGCCCCTCCGTCCTGGCCTCCCGTACCTCCCTGTCCGCCCCCTGGGGCTTGGCGTGGAGCTGCAGGGGGGTGTTGGGGAGCATGGGCCCACCCAGACTGGATGAGGAGTTGGCATACACCTTCATAGGTGATGGAGGCGTCTCCTTATCCCCCCCGCTCACCCCACCTCGGGCCGCTGACTCGTCCTCGATCTTGACGGCGTGGATGCCTGTGTGGCGGTCCACTTCTACGATGAAGGTGTCGTGGGAGTTGGACACGTACACCTCCACCTCCCCGAAGGTCACGTCGATGGTGACCCGGATGTCCACGTTGGTGAACTTTGGCTGGGCAGCGAAGAAGACGGTGCGTCCCTTGGGCAGATTGCGGATGGTGGGGTCGTGGAAGCAGTTTGTCTGGGAGGTGGGGTCGAAGCAGCACTCATTGTCCACGTTGAACTGCCGGTAGCACTGGCGCCCGTTTACCGGTGTGCCGTTGAAGGAGTCTTTACACTTGGCACACTGCGAGGAGGATTCCAGAGAGGGAGAAGAAACAAGAAATACAAGTGCATGTAAGTACTGTGCTTATTGTGGTCTTTACAACCAGGAAATTCAAGGTATCCTTATTCAATTCTCCCTCTGCTGTATCAGTATACCTGCTTGTAAACTGTGCCTAGTGCCTGCATCAGTCCTATCCATACCTGTGTTCTGTAGCAGTCCTTCCTGTCGCTCTGCGGGCTGCTGAGGCAGGAAGAGGTCTCTGTGTTGTTCTGACAGGGGCAGCCTGTGCCGTCATGTTCATTACACGTGTCAGCATGGCCGTTACACTGACACCTGCAGGTGGGAGTAACAAATAGCATTTCAGCCTTCTTTGGGATTCAGCCCTCCAAAGTGATTTTTACAGAATCACCCCTTCATCAAGAACACTCCTCTGAAGTGCACAGTCTGGAAAACTCAAGAATCGAATGGGTGTGAACACCACAATATTGCTCCATGTCCCTTTCATCAATTTCATCCTTTAATTACAAGTGAATTAGATGTGGCTAGAGGTTAATTTTAAAGGAATCACTACTCACTTGTCACACTTCCCCTGCAGTAGGAAGTAGCCGCTAAGGCAGCTCTCACACTTGTCCCCCACGCTGTTGTTCTGGCAGCTCACACAAACCGCTGCGTCCTCTGTAGGACCCTCCGACACCCACTGAACAATCTGATAAAGGGAAGGAGAGGGAGTTCAACAAAAGAAATGCAGTTAAATGACATCCAAGATGGTATACCTGTTCCTACACAGTGAGTTTCTAGCTAGCACATAAATCCTGATATGACCACAAAAGATGCTGTTGATCAGATCCAAAGTAATCCATTAATAAACTCAAAGGAAGATAGAGAGAACATATAAATGAACAAAAACAGACAGTGAGCCACTTACGCTGTCTTGGTCCAGAGGGTGGTCTTGGGGGTGGTCTACCGCCCTCTTGTGTTCGTCCCGGGACAGACACACAGCGCTGTTCCCCCTGCAGAACTCCCGACAGGGGCGGCACGTCCCCCCACCCACCGCCGACCCCACATACAGGGGCTTACACTTCTCACAGTGATCACCCTGGAACAGGAGAGAGAGGCACAAACCGCAATCATCAGTATATGATGCACTGAGTGAACTGAGAATCTGACCTGGGATCAGCACCAGTGTGTCACTAGTGTTTTGGCACTCAAGAAACACATTGGGCTGTGACATGCATAATCTTACAGTTGATGTGCTGAAATACTGTGTGTGTGTATACAGTACCAGTCAAAAGTTTGGACACGCCTACTAATTCAAGGGTTTTTCTTTATTTTTACTATTTTCTACGTTGTAGAATAATAGTGAAGACATCAAAACTATGAAATAACACATATGGAATCATGTAGTAACCAAAAAAGTATTAAACAAATCAAAATATATTTTATATTTGAGATTCTTCAAAGTAGCCACCCTTTGCCTTGATGACAGCTTTGCACACTCTTGGCATTCTCTCAACCAGCTTCACCTGGAACGCTTTTCCAACAGTCTTGAAGGAGTTCCCACATATGCTGAGCACTTGTTGGCTGCTTTTCCTTCACTCTGCAGTCCAATTAATCCAAAACCATCTCAATTGGGTTGAGGTCAGGTGATTGTGGAGGCCAGGTCATCTGACGCAGCACTCCATCACTCTCCTTTTTGGTCAAATAGCCCTTACACAGCCTGGACGTGTGTTGGTCATTGTCCTGTTGAAAAACAAATGATAGTCCCACTAAGCCCAAACCAGATGGGATGGCGTATCGCTGCAGAATGCTGTGGTAGCCATGCTGGTTAAGTGTGCCTTGAATTCTAAATAAATCACAGACAGTTTCACCAGCAAAGCACCCCCACACCACCTCCTCCACCTCCTCCATGCTTCACAGTGGGAACCACACATGCGGAGATCATCCGTTCACCAACTTGGAACCAAAAATCTCACATTTGGACTCATCAGACCAAAGGACAGATTTCCACCAGTCTAATGTCCATTGCTCGTGTTTCTTGGCCCAAGCAAGTATTTTCTTCTTATTGGTGTCCTTTAGCAGTGGTTTCTTTGAAGCAATTAGACCATGAAGGCCTGATTCACGCAGTCTCCTCTGAACAGTTGATGTTACTTGAACTCTGTGAAGCATTTATTTGGGCTGCAATTTCTGAGGCTGGTAACTCTAATGAACTTATCCTCTGCAGCAGAGGTAACTCTGGGTCTTTCTTTCCTGTGGCCAGTTTCATCATAGCGCTTGATGGTTTTTGCGACTGCACTTGAAGAAACGTTCAAAGTTCTTGAAATTTTCCGGATTGACTGACCTTCATGTCTTAAAGTAATGATGGACTGTCGTTTCTCTTTGCTTATTTGAGCTGTTCTTGCCATAATATGGACTTGGCCTTTTACCAAATAGGGCTATCTTCTGTATACCCACCCCTACCTTGTCACAACACAACTGATTGTCTCAAACGCATTAAGAAGGAAAGAAATTCCACAAATTAACTTTTAACCAAGGCACACCTGTTAATTAACATGAAGTTGGTTGAGAGAATGCCAAGAGTGTGCAAAGCTGTCATCAAGGCAAAGGGTGGCTACTTTGAAGAATCTCAAATATATAATATATTTAGATTTGTTTAACACTTTTTTTGTTACTACATGATTCCATATGTGTTATTTCATAGTTTTGATGTCTTTACAATTATTCTACAATGTAGAAAATAGTAAAAATAAAGAAAAACCCTGGAATGAGTAGGTGTGTCCAAACTTTTGACTGGTACTGTGTGTGTGTGTGTGTGTGTGTGTGTGCCCCACTCACCATGGTGTTGTTTCTACACTCCAGACACTTGTCAGTCTCAGACACTCCTTTACAGTTGCTGTGTTTGTTACAGCGACACTGAGACGAGCAGTTGTCCCCCACGAAGCCAAAGTGACACTGACACACTCCCGGGGACACACACGTCCCGTTGACACAACCCTGAGCACACACCGGCTCACACTGGCCTGACACACTGCAGAGAGGGAGTACAGAGAAAGAGGAGAAACTTAAACGGATACTATGTATGTATGTATGTATACCTACTGAATATGTAGCCCTGTTTGTTCTCAAGTTTCAAGTTTTAATGTCACATGCACAAGTACAGTGAAATGCCTTTCTTGCAAACTCTAAAACCCAACAATGCAATGATCAATGAATTACTAGAATAAAACACACAAGAAATAAGAGAGGAAATATGAAATACACAATAAAGTAAGTAAGGATACTATATACAGAATATTAAAAAAGTTAGTTCCGATTCCATATTTACATGTGCTGTGATACTGGAGTGATGGAGGTGGATATGTATAGGGATGGGGGGACTAAGCAACAGGATATAAGATAAACAGAGTAGCAGCAGCTTGCATGTGAGTGGGTGTGCATGTGTGTAGAGTCAGTATAAATGTATGTGCATATTATGTGTGAGTGAGCAGATGATTGAGTGAGTATTTGTGTGTGTGTTGGAGTGACCGTGTTTGAGTATGTAGGGCCCTATGAATGTGCATAGAGAGTGCAAATATTGAAATAAAAGGTCAATAAAGATACAAGGGAAACTCAGTCAGTGTAGTTATTTTGTTAGCTATTTATCAGACTTATTGTTTGGGGATAGAAGTTGCTCAAGAGCCTGTTGGTGTCAGACTTGATGCACCGGTACCTCTTGCCATACGGCAGCAGAGAAAATAGACTATGGCTTGGTGGTTGGAGTCTTTAACGATTTTCCGGGCCTTCTTTTCACACCGCCTGATTTAGATGTCCTGGATGGCAGGGAGCTCGGCCCCAGTGATGTACTGGGCTGTCCGCACAACCCTCTGTAGCGCCATGCGATCAAGGTCGGTGCTATTGCCATACCAAGCCGTGATGCAGCCAGTCAATATGCTCTCAATGGTACAGCTGTAAAACCTTTTCAGGATACTATGTATGTATACATACTGAATATGTAGCCCTGTTTGCAGGACAGGTGGTAGTACTGATGATTGTGATGATGATGTGGTTGTGTGTGTATAGCTGCTGAGGTATCCAAGTGCTACTTCTTCTGCCATTAATGATGATGATTGTGACGTGTTCCTTCCTACCGGCTGAGAACGTAGCCCTGCTTGCAGGTGCAGTGGTATCCCTGGGTCAGGTCATGGCAGTCCTGGGTGCTGTTACAGTGGTGGTGGCCGTTGGCACACTCATCTTCCTCCGGGCAGTGGAGGAATGACCAGCTGCTGTTCCTCTGGGGACACACTCCCTCACTCACACCTAAAACAGTAGAGTAGAGAATATAACCCTAAATGTTGGACAATAAAGTTATATTCTATAAAGCTTTGTTATATTTTAATCATAAACACACACACACACACACACACTGGATGAGGATCTATTATTCTAGCCTATAAAACAATATTCAAAAGGTCTATTCAATTCTGTTCCCCTCACCGTCGAGGCCTCCCTGCTGGCAGCGTCCAGCCCCATTGCCCCCGCGTGCAGCACACCAGCCACACTGGGGCCAGGCGATGCACTGGGAGCACTGGGTGAGCTGGGCGCACTGTGGGGAGCAGGAGTCCCCACCAGACAGCAGACGACCACACTGACCCGCCTCACAGCGCAGAGGCACGAAGGATGGACTCACACACTGGAGGAGAGGAGAGGGGGAAGGGAGGGCAGACATATATTCTTATTCATTTGTTTTTGAAGCTACAATGCAGAAATATATTTTCAGGAAAAAATAAGACACAGATATGCCCCTACCCCGCCAGCCACCCACACACCCACCCACCCCACCACCCACACGAGACACACTCAGTCTGTCTCTGTCTTACCTGCTGCAGTGCCATGCTCCACACACAGTGCTGCCAGCCCCCATCTGAGCCCCGGGAGCCCAGGCAGAGGCTGCAGGTGCTGAGGTGGTAACAGGGGGGCGGGCAGGGTAGAGGGGGGGAGGACTCCACCTGCATGGGGGACACGTTGAGCAGGGCGTAGCTGAAGCACGTCCAGTCGTAGGTGGGGTTCACACTCAGGATGCGCCTGGTCTCCCCTGAAGGAACCGCAACACAAGATGTAAGAGAGTGGTTCTCAGTTATTCAGCCACAACTTAGTCTAGTGGTCAACCTAAGACTTCTGTCGCTAGCAATAGAAGGTGAATGGAGGTGTCCCTCACCAGTGCGTTTGAACTGGCGTGTCCACATGCACTTCCCTGAGGCGGTGCACTTGGGGCAGTCGGAGGCCTCACAGCTGGTCTCAGTACAGTTGCTGGACAGGAAGATCTCTCTCTGGTTGATCCTGCAGTCATGTTCTGAGGTGCAGCTGACAGTACTGCTGATGCATGCTCCCTCTGGACAGTTTGTACACCACTTACACTGCAGAGCAGACTGGGACTGACAGAGAGGGGGAGGTTAGCAGTGTGTCTGTGTGTGTGTGTGTGTGTGTGTGTGTGGGGGGGGGGGTACTGTCTGGGCTGGTGTTAGTGTGCGTTTGAGTGTGTGTGTGTGTGGAAATGTGTATTACCTGTGAGGGGCTAGAGAAGGTCCTGGGGTGGCGTGCCAGACACTCGCTGCAGGTCTTCAGTCTTCGACACTGGTCTGGTAGACGAGGGGTGGGGGAGCAGGGAGACTGACCAATTGAACAGCCCAGTCTGAGAGAGAGGGACAAAACACCATAGAGAGGGGGAGAGAAGGGATAGTTGGTCAATAATTCTGAGATAGGGAAATAATAAATATGATTACACAAAGTAACAACCCCAAGAAACACCTCCAAAATAAAAAGAAAGACACAGTCAACAACTTGGAAACAACAGATAAGTCATTCCCATAATAACCATAGCTGTACCTCTCAGCGGTATTAGAGGAGGCGCAGGTGCCCCTGCACCAGACACAGCTACCTGTGGTGGTGTTGCAGGCCTCGGGCGTGGGCAGCAGGGCACAGGGGTCAGAGGGAAGGGTCAGGGTGAGAAGACGCCCCAGGGTGACCCCGTTGAAACCCCCAGAGAGGAACAGCCGCCCACCCCAGCCCGCCATGGCCAGAGACACTGAACGGTTAACTGGCTCACCCACCGCCGAGTCTGAGAGATAGGAAGGGAGAAACTTTAGAATAATCTCCATAACATCATCAAACTGAGCATATATGCAGTGTTTTGGCCAGCCCCATGTAGTGTAAGTCAGACAGTTACCTGGCTGTATCCAGGTGTTACAGTTGATCTGGTACAGAGACACTGTGTTGCTGTAGTCCTCCTCTCCTGTCCTCCCTCCCACGATCACCATGGTGTCTTTTATCAGGGCTGCAGCGTGGAAGAAACGAGACAGGGGCTGTGGAGAGAGGGAGAGAGAAAAGAGACAGAGTGTTAATATAAGAAAAATAAATGTTCCGATATAATGACGATGTCATCAATTAAGGCCAGCCTGGGACCATGTAAAAACGGTTGAAATACCGGTAAGCTAGTTGTGAAAGAAGCCTGTTCTCGTGGTAGAGCTGCTGTAGTAGTACCTACCTTATTCCCCTGTGAGGGGACCAGTAGGGACCAGGTGAGATTGGGATAGTAGAGACTGTAGAGCTCTCCTGAGGGCTCCACTGTCTCCACGTGGAAGCGGTAGCCTCCGAACACGTACACGGCGTCCGTCTGCTCGTGGTACACAGCAGAATGGCCATACAGACCTGAAGAGAGGACAGGACACACAGGAGTCAGTCAGGAGGCAACATGGGAGGGTTAAGGGTTAAACGAACTTGTCAATTATGCAACATCATAAGGGACAGGAGTTTGTGGTTCATGTTGTCAGAAATGACTCTTTGCTCCAACCAGAATGGATGCACCTCAATCTTTATATTCTATGCATATTTAGTGGGACAGAGGTTCCACGAAAGCTGAGTAGGGACTTTCCAGATTGGCAGGTACAAAGTGAGTTAATGACAATACGTTGCTAATGAGTGCAGGTGGAGATAGGTCCTTCTGACCTGTAGGAGGCGTGCCGGTGTGGGGGGCGACGGTCCAGTTGCCAGAGTGGATGTTGAACTCCAGCAGGTGGTGGTTGAAGCCGTTCTCTGGAGAGTAACCTCCGATGAGCAGCATAGAGGAGTCCCGACGCACCGTTAGAGTATGACCTGCCACCGGTGGCAGCACTGAGCTCTGTGGGGGGAGAGGACACAGACTAATTGGTTACATAGAACAAGTCTATAGTAAATTGAATCGTGGGGTGTAGGCTGACCGTTAACTACCAATATTTTATGTTTAGTGTTTTGTTGTTCATATATTTTCCCAAGTAAAGCAAGATGGTGGATTGCTAAAACCAAACAAACCAACTCTGACCTTGTGCTGTCTCCACACCAGACTGCTGAGGTTGAGGCTCCACATATCCAGGGCGACGCCCTTCTGCGTGACACCGCCCACCACCAGCATGAGGTTGTGAGTGGCTCCCTGGGCGCCGGAGAGAGGCTGGTGACTGGCCAGAAGGGCAGAGGCATGGTGGTAGCGTGGGCTGGGGGTGGAGCCTTCCTCCACTGAGCTGGTCAGCATCTGAGTCCAGCGCCGCTCCAACACAGAGTACCTGAACCCACCAACCAACACAGAGACAGGACATGAACCCACCAATCAACACAGAGAGGAAAGAGAGAGAGACATACAGACAAACTAACTGATATGAGTTACTGGTAATTTCAGACAATTATTTAAAAAATTCGCTGTCTCACAAAAGGCATCTTTAAATGAACGCTACTAAAAACAACACCATTAAAGTCATCCCCCCACCTGTAGACGTTGCCCAGGATGCCCTCTGAGAGAGAGAGGCCTCCATACATCCAGAGGTTCCCCTGGGGCCCAGACACTAGAGAATGGCCCATCCGGTGGAGGAACCTGTGGGCCTGATTCTGTGGAGGGAGGGGGAAGCTTAACACTGTGACACTCTGTGGTGGGAGTGTTTTTATATATGTGTGTGTGTGTGCTGGTTCTTACCGCTGTGAGCTGTGTGTCCAGTAGGGTTTCCCAAACTAGGCTACTGGAGTCCAGAGGAGTGGAGCAGTCCGAGCCGCCCCAACCGTCTGCACACACACACACTCCCAGAGACTAAAACACACACACACAGAGAGACAGAGACAGAGAGAGTTAACATTAGAGACACACAAGAGACTGCAATATATAGGACCAGGATAAGCAAAGAGGAAAACATCAAAACACCAACAAAAACAACAATTTGCATTCACACAGTCTTGCACTCACCAAGTTGCAGGAGCCTCGGACCTCTGCTAGCCCACAGTCCTCGGGACAGAGGGGCCTGTCGCAGTACGGCCCCCCGTACCCCTGAGGACACTGGCACAGCCCCCCGCTGCACTGCGCCCCTCCCTGGCACACCGGTGACCCATCCCCGCCTGCCTCAGAACCCTCTCGACAGCGTCGCACCCAGAAGGAGGCGTTGAAACCCTGAGGGTGGTCGGACGAGACGTTGGCCTCAAAGTAGACAGAGATCACACCTGGGAGAGAGAGAGAACAGAGGAATCAGAGAGGGAATCTTTCAATACTACTCATGATATTTGCAGTCAGAAAATAAGTAGGAGAAAAACTTTATTTTAAAACTTTTAAAAAAATGACCAGAAGTTTTAATAAACAAACAAACAAATCACTAGGGTAACCTGAAGTGGCCTCCACAGTGATTGGCTGAGTCCGGGTCGTCCCACAGAACGCTCCAATCAGGTTGTGGTCTGAGTGCACCACCCCGTTGCTCAAGAAACGAGGCAGGCCGTCAAACACGTAAACGTAGGAGCTCTGTGTGTGAGAGACAGAAAGGACATCTCAGGCCATGGGAACACTAGTGGCTCTGTTCACTACAGCACAATAAACATCAGTCTGTGTTGTAGGAGTTAGTGTGTGGTCAGTACTCACAGTGCACTGTGTGTGAGAGTCTGGGTGCAGGGTGAGAGCTACAGGAGGGCACAGCTCGCCCGGCACACAGGGGGCCAGGTTCTCAGAGACAGACAGGACCCACAGACAGTGGGAGAGTCCCCCCTTCCCCCCGACGCCCCCTCGCCACCCCAGGGAGGACGAGATGGGGAGCTCAGAGAGGGGTGACTGGTGGGACAGGATCACAGAGCGCCCCTGACACTGACGGAAACAGGTGCCATTATTCCTGAGGGAGAGAGCGAGAGTTGGATAAGTGATATGCATTAAGTGAGAGAAATTCAATCATTCAGATGTATAGTGAAGCAGGTTCTTAAATTACAGAGCACATAGCAACTAGTTGCTGATGCACAGTACACATACTGTTCTATAAAACAGATCCTGCAAAAAATAAATCCATCCATCCAGAGCCCATTGTCTGTCCCCCTCACCTGGGGTCTCCGTAGTATCCGGGCAGGCAGGATTCACAGTGTGGTCCCTGGGTGTGGTGTGTGCAGAAGCATTGGCCTGTCTGATTGTGGCAGTAGCCCTGGAGGGGGTCTCCATGGCCGTTGCACTGGCAGGGCACACAGCCCCCGCCCCCGGCCAGCGCAGAACCAAAACTCCCTGGTCGACAGTGCTCACACTGGGGACCCGTTGTCCAATCTAAGGAGAACGGAGAACGGAGAGAGCATGAACTAATGAGAAAAAATGATGTCTTATGAAATTAATAAAATATGTTGTTTTTCTGGTCATCTTGGTGTGTTGCTGTAATGGGTTGATATTGTATGTCTGTCTCACCCTGGCAGTGATCACAGATGCCTGGGGCGGTGATACAGGTGCTGTGGAAGTTACAGCCACAGTCCACGTCACACTCCACCCCGCTCAGCACCAGGGTGGCTGGGTCAGATGTCCAGCCCAGGGAACACTCACACTCAAACCGCGGGCTGCCGCTGCACTGGCCCTCACGACACTCATTATAACAACTGGAGCAGAGAGAGAGGTCAGCTTTAGGAGAATGGAGTTATCCAGAGAACGAGACATTATAAAAGCTAGTAGACAGAACAAGGGCTTGTCATGATAGGGAGGATGAGAAAGATGGAGGAAAAGAAAGAGTGACAGGGAGTGAAATGAGAGAGAGAGAGAGAGAGAGGCTCACGTCTGGTTGCAGTGCAGGGTGCCGTCCCCAGTGTAGCCCCTCTCACAGTGGCACTCGTAGGAGGTGGGGGTGTTGACGCAGGTGGCGAAGGGGTGGCAGCTGTGGAGGCCCAGCCTGCACTCCTCCACATCGGGACAGGTGGGGTAGGACCAGACTGCATCCCTCTCCCCCTCCTCCAGGTGCTCCAGCTCCAGCTCCATCTCCATGGGCCGCGGGGGGGCCAAGGTCTGGGGCTCAGGACTAGAGGGGGAGGAGGAATAACAAGGTTCAGTATTATCTCCTAATGCAGAGAGGTGGTCTGGTATTGACATGGTAACTCCACAGGCAGCTCCATTGGACTTAGGCATTACTTACACTTGACCTGCTCAGTTAATTATTTTTTTTCATCACCACAGCCCGTTTTGTGGGCTTGTCCTCAGTTGAAGTCAAACCTGGGTAAGTAAGCATTTTGAAGTGTGGGTGGTTTGCTGGTCATCATACCTGGTAGCCCGTACTTCAGCCACAGCCACACTGCAGTTATACACAGAGGGGTCGTCCATCCCTGCCCAGTCTCCTCTTAGACACCTGCCGATGGTGGGGTTGTTGTAGTCTCCACACCAGCCACACTGGAACGTCTGGAGACAGTCTGTACAGGTGACCAGAGCTGAGCACTGCTTACACTGGGGCACTGAGTGGACACTGGAGTGGGGGAGAGAGGGATGGAGACAGGGGATGGAGGGAGAGGGAGGAAGACAGAGAAGGTTATTATTGCACGTTGTTGGTACATAATAGATTGCAAAGAGAAAAGGGAAATACGATTAAATCTCCATTCTAAACGGTTCCAAGTTTCGTTGTTGACTACAGGAGTTCAGCTCATTGGTTCTAATGGTTTACCTGTCATACCAGTCCCTGCACTCTCCGTAGGGGTACTTAGTGAGGTAGGCCGCAAAGTAGAAGCAGGCTTGGGCCGACTCACACCACGCACACTGACTGGAGTTAGACAAACACTCCCCACACGTCCTCCTCCTGTTACCGGGGGGGGGAGAGGTTAAGAGAGAGAGTGAGAGAGTTGCATAGTGTATGAGTAATTGCCCCAAGCAACATTATATTACGATCAGCCCGACAGTGGGTACTCACTGGTTGCAGACTTTAGGGCACCCCCACTGGGTCGCGAATGGATCCTTCCAGTCTCCCCCGTCGGCTGCATTGGTAGTCACCCTTCTTGCTGGAGTTTATCTGCCACTCACAGTAGGGGTCCTGTCGGCCAAAGATCATAAAGGTCAAAGGTCTACAAGATCTATAAGGGGAGTAATAAAAATAAAAAATGTTTATTAAGCTGATGGCAGTGAGGTGTTTTGTATGTTTATTACCTGAGTGCAGGCGGAGCAGTCCCTGTACTCCTCACAGAGGGTGCATTGCGGCGGGGCCAGCAGCAGGTGGCGCTCCCCTTCCCCCTGGTCCTCCGGGCAGGGCTCCAGGTCAGGCAGGGCACGGAACAGACAGCGGCCCAGAGACGGACACCAGCCACAGGACTGGTCTGACAGACACGCCAAGCACGACTGGTACCCCGAGCAAGAGCCAGAACGGTACGGCTCCAAGAACAAGAAGGAAATCTCCTACAGAGAGAAAGAAAGGAGGAAAAAAAGGGATAGAGAGACAGTGGGAGAAACAAACGTCTTCAATATTGATGTTAAGGGTATCGAGCCTTAGTATTACAGTATAAACCTTTTGTTTATAACATCTGTAATTGTCAGCTGGTACTCACACTTCCGCCGGGCAGGGTGGTTCTGTTCCAGGTCAGGGCCATCTCACTGGTCTGTCCAGAGCCTGAGTTGTTGAGGTATCCCTCGGCCTGGACCAGGTAGCGGTTCCCTCGGGTCAGGTTGGGAAACAGACGACCCATGTCAGGACGGGACAGCAGCTTCGTCTCCTTCTCCTGGTGAGCTGCCCAGCGACCTACCACCTCCTTCTGAGGGTAGGAGGAGGAGGTTGGGAGAGAGTTCAGTAAAAACAAATGACTGTCTGGCTCTACTCGTATCTCTCAAAAACGTGTAATGTAAGCACCCATCTCCCTCTCTCTCTCCCTCTCTCACCAGTTGCAGGGAATTGGGTCCAGCAGCCATGCGGGCCTCAAAGTGTAGCCTCTGTATCCGGGCCCACATGGAGACTGTCTCGGTGGGAGGGGGTGCAGGTGGAGGCGCACCCCACAGGGGGTGGATGAAGCCCCGGAACTGCAGGGTGACGTCCATCTCTGTGGTGGGGCTGAGGATGATGGAGGTGCTGCGCAGGATGGACACCTGAAGGGGTGGAGGTTCAAGGGGGATGGAGGTGTTACAACTGACATTAGGAGTGGCACGTCTCACAGCAAGGTACAGAAGTCAAACGTAAAGGCAGAGAAAGCTAAGAAAATCCTAAAAGAGTGCAAGAATGGCACCCTATTCCCTATGAAGAGCACTACTTTGGACCAGAACCCATAGGGAAACCCTATGAAAAACCCTATGGGCTCTGGTCCAAAGTAGTGCACAAAGGGAAATAGAGTACAGAGGAATAGAGAAGAGAGAGAGAGAAGAACAAAACAGCCTTACATTCAGTCAGATAAGAGTTTGGGAAGCCCACAGTATCTTAAGCAGGGCGGGAGGAGGGTAAGTATTTAGAGGGGCTTTAGAGACGCAGTATAGCTAGAAGTAGAGGTAATACCAGGGGTGAAAGCAAGGTGGTACAGTGTCCCAGAAAAATAAAATGTGTCAAGGAAACTGTAGGCTATTACACCATTATTTATCATTACCGCAATATTTGTGAATGGACTTGAAAATAAATGGGTGGTATTAGCCTACACTCCAAAATGCAATGTGGTTCGACGAGAACACTGACATTTTGCTAAGGCAAAGTTGAGTGGTTGACACCGGGACGTGGGGACAGCAGTGGACGCATAAATTCTGGCTTAATGACAATAGCCAAATCTCATTACACTTTTTGGTGTTTTGTGTAAAAGATGCCTCTTTCCATTCACCACTGTTTGGAGGCTGGAAATATGTTGAGAGTGGATGAATGTGCCAGGGTGGCCTGATTGTTTGACAATCAGATGAAAACATCTTGACTGGTTGTGTTTATGCTACAATAAAACGTAACACATTTTAAAGGTTAACTGACAAATCTTTACGACTAGGCCCACAGAGAACCTATTAAATTAACATGGATTCTATATATAATTCTATGAGTAGGCCCCCTTAAAAATGTGGGTGCATGCAAGGTCCCGTACCGGAAAGAAATCTACCTCACCCCTGGGCAATATAAATATCTATATATTTTTTGGTACTTTTTACCCCCTTTTCCTCCCCAATTTCATGATATCCACTTGGTAGTTACAGTCTTGTCCCATCGCTGTAACTCCCGTACAGACTCGGGAGAGGCGAAGGTCGAGAGCCATGCATCCTCCGAAACACGACCACGCCAAGCCTCACTGCTTCTTGACACACTGCTCGCTTAACCCGGAAGCCAGCCACACCAATGTGTTGGAGGAAACACCGTACAGCTGGCGACCGAAGTCAGCTTGCATGCGCCCGGCACGCCACAAGGAGTCGCTAGAGCGCGATGGGACAAGGACATCCCAGCCGGCCAAACCCTCCCCTAACCTGGACGACGCAGGGCCAATTGTGCGCCATCTCATGGGTCTCCCGGTCGCGACACAGCCCGGGATCAAACCCGGATCTGTAGTGATGCCTCTAGCACTGCGATGCAGTGCCTTAGACGCTGCGCCACTCGGGAGGCCACCCCTCTGCAATACTTAATATATGCCATTTAGCAGATTGCTGTATCCAAAGTGACTTGCAGTCATGCATGCATACATTTTACGTATAGGTGGCCCCCAGCGGGAATCAAACCCACGAGCCACACAGGACCACAATACTTGGCAGTAGGGTTGTCATGATACCAGTATCGTGATACTCAGAGGTATCGTGGCAAGGAAACAAAACAAGAAGCGCACTAAATGTTCTGAGGAAACAAGTCCTAATGTTGAAAACAAGCAGCTTGATGTTGTCTCCCAGAATCCTGTTTCTTTTCCATGCTATAGCACACAATCATTTACGTACAGTACGTTTTTAAAGGACCAAAGAGTCTGCTTTGTGTTTAACTTTTTGCTATGGAAAATCAGTTATCGTAGTTTCCTGATGTTGGTATCGTGACAACCCTACTTCGCGGGGCCTCTGTACCTTGTCAGGCTGGGAGTCGTTGCGGGGGTGCTGGAAGGTGAGCAGGTGCAGTCCCGGGACATAGTTCTCAGTGCGACAGGAAAGGATTGAGGTGAGGAAACGGGTACGCTCCCCCCACCAGCCGTACGCCCCTGAGATCTGGTCCACACGGCAAGCACTTTGATCTGCAATACCGAGAGCTCAGTATTGTTGTTTCTCATGTGGTCCATCTCCCATGCATTTTAGCTTTTGATATTTTTATTTCCCCTCCTCCCTCCATCTGTGCATCTCACCTGACACAGGTAGGCAGGACTCGTTCTGGACACACCAGCCGAAGTCACCGGGGGCGCGGGGCAGGGAACCTGCAGCCCCACTGAACACCAGGCAGGACTGGCAGTCAGAAAGGAAGCGGGCCAGGCCCAGGCACCCTGTGCTGCCACACTGGAGAGAGACAGTTAAACATTGTTTTTATACAACAGGGAACTCAGGTTAAACAACATTGTTTTTATCCATGGTCATGTTAGGTTCTTAGGAGAAAGTGAATAGGGAGGACAGATGGATGAGGTTTGGGTTGAAAAAGGGATGCAAAAAGTAGGGTGTTGGATAGGTGTGTTACCGGGTTGGTGGGTTGGTACTCCCGACAGCGGCCCTCACACCAGCTGCATTCTGGGTTCTTCAGACACACGCTCTCGTCTGGTGCCTCGGCACACACAGCGTCCTGACACACACAGAAACACACAGTCAGACAAAGATACACACACCACAGCAGGTCTCTCCAACCCTGTTCCTGGAAAGCTACCGTCCTGTAGGTTTTCGCTCTAACCCTAATCTAGGGCACCTGATACTAATAATTAGCTGGTTGATAAGATGAATCAGGTTAGTTACAACTGGGGTTGGAGCGAAAACCTACAGGAGGGTAGCGCTCCAGGAACAGGGTTGGAGAGACCTGCACCACAGTGAACTAACCAAAAATTGTGCACAAGAAATACAATGTTTACAAATCCTGCTTTCAACCACAAAAAAACAGTATCACTGAAAAACATTGTGCTTCAGGAGATGAGAGCATTGCAGTTTCAACCATCCACCTCTCCCCCTTTCAATATGCCCCTGTCCACCATGCAATAATATTCCTTAATAAACTCTCCATCCCTCCCTCCTTCTCTCCTCCTTACATCTTGACTCACCCGGTCTCCTGGGTCACTGCTCACAAACAGAGGAACTTTGTACGCCACCAGGTCTCCACGGGCAATACCACTGTATCCCCCGGCAACCAGCAGCACCCTGCCCTCCATCACAGCAGCTACATGGGAGTACCGCCCTCTCACAGCCTCTCCTCCTGAAGGGAAAGAGAGAGAGATGATTCAACATAAAGCAACATGAATGTCTGTATGAGCAAGTGAGAATGTGTGCGTGTGTAGGGACTCACTGTGCTGGAGGCTCTCCCCAGCAGACACCCACTGGTGACAGCCCAGGTGGTAGAAGAAGATTCCCTCATCATAACACTTCTCCTCCTGGTAGTGGATGTGCACATTCCCCCCTGAGAGAGAGAGGGGGGGGGGGGGGGGGGGGTGGAATAGGGAGAATAGGAGCGATATTAGACGGTAAAGCGGCTGGACAGCAAACAATTGTATGAATCCATTCAGGAGGTCTCCATCCCTATCCTTTAATCTCTGTGATGACCATCTCCATCTCTATCATATGTCCCCTCACCATAGACCACCATGTAGTTGCCGATGACGGTGGCTGAGTGGAAGGCTCTCTCCCTGGGGCCTGTGGCTGGGAAACGGGAGCGGAACGAGGTCCAGAACCTCCGGTCCACGTGGAATACATCCGTGGAGTTCACACGTACACTGAACCTGAGGGGGAGAGAGAGGCAGGAAGGAGGCAGATGATTTGAGAGACTATAGAAACACTCCCAAACATTAACACACAGACACTTGCTGAGACACAAACAGATACCAAACAGTATTGGGAATCACATGGACACTGAACCTTGGAGAAGCCAAGAACCTAGCGAGAACCTGTTCTTCCATGACCAAATAGCACTAAACACACACACACGACTCAATGTGTACTCTCAGTGTGTACTTTAACTTGGATAATAAACACAAGACAGTCCCACAATCCCCTCCTCCAACTGTACCTGGCGGTGGTAGGCCTGTGGCCCCCGTAGACCAGCAGGGCCCGGGACGGGGGGTGGAACACCATGGAGTGACCTGCTGTGGCGGGGGGCTTCCCACCGGTGGGCTGCACCGCTTCCCACACCCCAGACCCCCGCAGACCAAACCGATACAGTGATGACGAGAACATGTCCTCTTCCGTACGACCTGAAGAGTGGAGAGGAGAAAAAGGCACAGGTGTGTGCTTTTCCAAATCATGTCCAATCAATTGAATTTACCACAGGTGGACTCCAATCAAGTTGTAGAAACACCTCAAGGATGATCAATGGAAACAGGATCCACCTGAGCTTAATTGAGTCTCATAGCAAAGGGTCTGAATACTTATAGCGCCAGTCAAAAGTTTGAACACACCTACTCATTCTAGTGTTTTTCTTTATTTTTTACTATTTTCTACATTGTAGCATAATAGTGAAGACATCAAAACTATGAAATAACACATATGTAATCATGTAGTAACCAAAAAAGTGTTAAACAAATCAAAATATATTTGAGATTCTTCAAAGTAGCCACCCTTTGCCTTGATGACAGCTTTGCACACTGCTGGCATTCTCTCAACCAGCTTCATGTCAATTAACAGGTGTGCCTTGTTAAAAGTTAATTTGGGGAATTTCTTTCCTTCTTAATGCGTTTGAGACAATCAGTTGTATTGTGACAAGGTAGGGGTGGGTATACAGAAGATAGCCCTATTTGGTAAAAGGCCAAGTCCATATTATGGCAAGAACAGCTCAAATAAGCAAAGAGAAACGACAGTCCATCATTACTTTAAGACATGAAGGTCAGTCAATCCAGAACATTTCAAGAACTTTGAAAGTTTCTTCAAGTGCAGTGGCAAAAACCATCAAGCGCTATGATGAAACTGGCTCTCATGAGGACCGCCACAGGAAAGGAAGACCCAGAGTTACCTCTGCTGCAGAGGATAAGTTCATTAGAGTTACCAGCCTCAGAAATCGTAGCCCAAATAAATGCTTCACAGAGTTCAAGTAACAGACACATCTCAACATCAACTGTTCAGAGGAGACTGTGTGAATCAGACCTTCATGGTCAAATTGCTGTAAAGAAACCACTACTAAAGGACACCAATAAGAACAAGAGATTTGCTTGGGCCAAGAAACACGAGCAATGGACATTAGACCGGTGGAAATCTGTCCTTTTGGTCTGATGAGTCCAAATTTGAGATTTTTGGTTCCAACTGCCATGTCTTTGTGAGACGCAGAGTAGGTGAACGGATGATCTCTGCATGTGTGGTTCCCAGCGTGAAGCATGGAGGAGGTGGTGTGATGGCGTGGGGGTGCTTTGCTGGTGACACTGTGGGTGATTTATTTAGAATTCAAGACACACTTAACCAGCATGGCTACCACAGCATTCTGCAGCGATACGCCATCCCATCTGGTTTGGGCTTAGTGGGACTATCATTTGTTTTTCAACAGGACAATGACCCAACACACCTCCAGGCTGTGTAAGGGCTATTTGACCAAGAAGGAGAGTGATGGAGGGCTGCATCAGATGACCTCCACAATCACCTGACCTCAACCCAATTGAGATGGTTTGGGATGAATTGGACCGCAGAGTGAAGGAAAAGCAGCCAACAATTGCTCAGCATATGTGGGAACTCCTTCAACTGTTGGAAACGCATTCCAGGTGAAGCTGGTTGAGAGAATGCCAAGAGTGTGCAAAGCTGTCATCAAGGCAAAGGGTGGCTACTTTGAAGAATCAAAAACATATTTTGATTTGTTTAACACTTTTTTGGTTACTACATGATTCCATATGTATTATTTCATAGTTTTGATGTCTTCACTATTATTCTACAATGTAGAAAATAGTAAAAATAAATAAAAAACCTTGAATGAGTAGGTGTGTCCAAACTTTTGACTGGTCCTGTATGTAAATGGCCTCCCGAGTACATACATACATACATACATACATATATATATATATATACATACATACATATATATATATATATTTATTTATTTTTTTTGCTCCTGAACTTCTTCTACTCTCAACCTCTCCGATCATTTTCTTTATGTCCTTCCGGTTTGCTTCTATATGCCATATCTTTCTAACTGTGCTCTTTTCCAAAAGCTCCCAACATACAACCTATATACAGTGGGGAAAAAAGTATTTAGTCAGCCACCAATTGTGCAAGTTCTCCCACTTAAAAAGATGAGAGAGGCCTGTAATTTTCATCATAGGTACACGTCAACTATGACAGACAAAATGAGAAAAAAAAAATCCAGAAAATCACATTGTAGGATTTTTAATGAATTTATTTGCAAATTATGGTGGAAAATAAGTATTTGGTCAATAACAAAAGTTTCTCAATACTTTGTTATATACCCTTTGTTGGCAATGACACAGGTCAAACGTTTTCTGTAAGTCTTCACAAGGTTTTCACACACTGTTGCTGGTATTTTGGCCCATTCCTCCATGCAGATCTCCTCTAGAGCAGTGATGTTTTGGGGCTGTCGCTGGGCAACACAGACTTTCAACTCCCTCCAAAGATTTTCTATGGGGTTGAGATCTGGAGACTGGCTAGGCCACTCCAGGACCTTGAAATGCTTCTTACGAAGCCACTCCTTCGTTGCCCGGGCGGTGTGTTTGGGATCATTGTCATGCTGAAAGACCCAGCCACGTTTCATCTTCAATGCCCTTGCTGATGGAAGGAGGTTTTCACTCAAAATCTCACGATACATGGCCCCATTCATTCTTTCCTTTACACGGATCAGTCGTCCTGGTCCCTTTGCAGAAAAACAGCCCCAAAGCATGATGTTTCCACCCCCATGCTTCACAGTAGGTATGGTGTTCTTTGGATGCAACTCAGCATTCTTTGTCCTCCAAACACGACGAGTTGAGTTTTTACCAAAAAGTTATATTTTGGTTTCATCTGACCATATGACATTCTCCCAATCCTCTTCTGGATCATCCAAATGAACTCTAGCAAACTTCAGACGGGCCTGGACATGTACTGGCTTAAGCAGGGGGACACGTCTTGCACTGCAGGATTTGAGTCCCTGGCGGCGTAGTGTGTTACTGATGGTAGGCTTTGTTACTTTGGTCCCAGCTCTCTGCAGGTAATTCACTAGGTCCCCCCATGTGGTTCTGGGATTTTTGCTCACCGTTCTTGTGATCATGTTGACCCCACGGGGTGAGATCTTGCGTGGAGCCCCAGATCGAGGGAGATTATCAGTGGTCTTGTATGTCTTCCATTTCCTAATAATTGCTCCCACAGTTGATTTCTTCAAACCAAGCTGCTTACCTATTGCAGATTCAGTCTTCCCAGCCTGGTGCAGGTCTACAATTTTGTTTCTGGTGTCCTTTAACAGCTCTTTGGTCTTGGCCATAGTGGAGTTTTGAGTGTGACAGTTTGAGGTTGTGGACAGGTGTCTTTTATACTGATAACAAGTTCAAACAGGTGCCATTAATACAGGTAACGAGTGGAGGACAGAGGAGCCTCTTAAAGAAGAAGTTACAGGTCTGTGAGAGCCAGAAATCTTGCTTGTTTGTAGGTGACCAAATACTTATTTTCCACCATAATTTGCAAATAAATTCATTAAAAATCCTACAATGTGATTTTCTGGTTTTTTTCTCTCTCAATTTGTCTGTCATAGATGACGTGTACCTATGATGAAAATTACAGGCCTCTCTCATCTTTTAAGTGGGAGAACTTGCACAATTTGTGGCTGACTAAATACTTTTTTTCCCCACTGTATATCTCACTAGATCAGGATATTTAAGCCTCCATATATCTACTAGTTCTAATGTATCCATGACGTTCACGATTTCCTTAAGAGCATGTGGGTGATTGTTTGTGGTGTGATTTCCTTTACGGTCCATTGAGCTATTTAAAACAGTATTATAATCCCCCACCATAATAATATTGTCTTGAATTGCTTGCAGGGTTGATAATATATTATATATATTGTCAAAGAATTGAGGATCATCATTATTTGGTCCGTAAAGGTTAATGAGCCATATCTGTTTATGGTCCAATAACATATTTAAAATAATCCATCTACCTTGCGTATCTATTTGGACAATTTGCACATTCGGATCGAAATTACTATTAATTAATATCATCACCCCTTTTGAATTTCTTTGCCCATGGGAGAAGTATATTCCCCCCCCCCCCATTCTTTTTTCCACGCAACTTCATCTCGAATTGTTGAATGAGTTTCCTGTATACAATAGATATTATATTCCTTCTCTTTGAGCCATGTAAATATTGTTTTTCTTTTGTTATTATCAACTAAGCCATTACAATTATAACTGGCTATACTTATTTCACCATACACCATAATGAGATACAAGTTTCAAGTCTATTTATCATTATATATGTTTGTAAATGTACCAATAAAAAATACCGTAATGATTGAGTGTCCATATAGCTGTACTGTGATATTTGCATTGCTACGGAGTAACCCTTCAATTGTTCTCCACTAATTCCCCTGCTAAAGCCCCTCCCCATCCCAAGTTGAGCCGTCATCCCAGTGATCAGCATCCCACCCACGTCCCTCCGGATCCCTAAGGCCCCGAGAGGCCAGGACCCATCCATCGAAAACAGCACACAGTGCCACCCACAAAACAGAAGCAGATTAACCACCAAAAGCATTTCCAATGCTGTCACCTCTATATATATAACTATTTAAAAAAAATTATGCATATCCTATTTTCCATCATTATCAATTAATATGCGTAATAACGTTGGCAGTTCAAGCATAGGATTTTAACATATAACCCGGATTGCCATTGTATTACATTTAATTCATTGACAAGCAATTATTATCCTAGCAAATAATTCCTGTGATCCATTCCATCCCCCCCAACATCCCCACAACAGATGCAGCTTAACTAAGTCTTTCTTTGCAGCACTTGAACATATTCTGCAAGAGGTTTTCACTGCATATACACACACCTATAAAGTAATGTTTGCAGTTTAAAAATATTCTACAAATTCAGGTAACATTGCATTTCAATTAGTAATTTACCTCCAAATATGTAGAGATAGTTGTCCACTACAGCTGCTGCATGGTTGGCCACTCTCGGTGCCCCGTGCAAATGGGATTGGCCGAGCTGCTGCCAGTCATCCTGGATTGGGCGGTACATCCAGACATCGCTGGCTAAAGCGGCGCTCGCGAGCTCTCCTCCGAAGATCACCATGTTCCCCTTCCACTCAACTGCTGTGTGGGAGTGACGAGCCGCCTGACAGAGGGAGGGGGGAAAGAAAGAAGGGAGAGAGGAAGAGGGGGGTGATAAGAAGAGAGATGACAGTTGGGATGGGGTGGGCAGGAGGAAGAAAGGGAAGGATGAGAGGAAGTGGGAACAAGAAGAAAGAGAAAAAGGAGGGGTGAGAGTGAGACAGTAAGATAGGGAGAGATGTAGAATGTGGTTCACAGGAGAGGGAGGGAAAGAGAAATGTTTAGGAGCATTGGTTTAGTCCAATGAGTCCCACCGCATCGCCGGCGCGTTTTTAACTAACCCCTTTTAGTCTGTGTGAATAATGGGGGCGAAGCTAGAGTGGTGTTTGTGAGACAATGGCGGATCCCGAAGGGGTCTTTTATACAAAACCATCTGTAGAGTCCAAATGGTTTGAGCTACAAACTATTAAAAGCTGAGACTCACACGAACATGCACATGTAACATATTTTGCTCTATGACACTCACAAGCTACACAAGAGTCGTTAGAAGGTAAGGGGTTCTTCTACATAGAAGATCATAGGAAATCCCAGGACATAGTGTCTATAATACTGTAATAAGCTCACATAGTTGCTGTCACAAACACCAAACAGTTGTCACTGACTAGTTGGATATTTAATTTCCCAATGAGCAAACAATTTCTGTACTTACAGCATTCATATAAATTCATTTTTATCGACATTTGTCAATATAACTCATGAATGCAACTGTTTATGTCAAATTGTTTTGTGTTCTACTTGTAGCCCTGGTTGTCTTGAAAATATTGTGAGGCTAAATATAAGGGCTGGACATGTAGTTAAATGAAAGTCAGATAAATGAAAATCCAAATTTTGCTGGGATCTTCAATAAAATATCAAAGCATAAGATAAACAAAGGAAATAATAACTAAAAGAGAACAGTCTTTGACATCTTGGCATGGGGCAGGCACTTACTGGGGAGTGTCCATAAGATCTGTTCTCCCACTGGTTCATGCTGAAGTTGTATTTAACCAGGTCCCCCAGAGCTCGGTTCAAGTCAAACCCTGAAATATCAAACAGCACCAACCATACAGAACCAGTTAACCTATTACATCATGACATGTATTGAAAGCCACAATGCTTACTATGCAGAGACAGTTGTCCAACAGCAATAAGGTCAAGGTCTTCTGTGAAGCCGTGTACTCGCCTCATCTAAACTGGGTTAATGTTAACCAAGCCAAACAATACTCCTGACTGGGTCGATACCGGGTCCAGTTAGACAATGAATCAGCACATAAAGTGAAAACAAATCAACCCTAACATCCTGACTAACAACACCTGAATTTGAATAGTATACAGTATTGGTATACCTTCGGCATGTAAAATATTTTTTTTTATGTACAATGGGATCCACCACTATATAAAAATAAACAAACAGTTGTGTTCTATCCCTCACCTCCAAACAGGTACATGGCTCCAGTGGAGGACAGGTAGACCCCAGCAGAGCCGGTCCGGGGGGGAGTGTAGGGGTCGCCCCCGCTCACCTGCCACCACTGCCCCGCCCCACTGTCATCACGGAGACCCAACTGACAGCTCTGGCCCAGGAAGTCCGAGCTGCAGAGACAACGCTCTCCTCTCTGAGAGAGGAAGAGAAAGAAGGAGAAAGAAAGAAAGTGTGAGAGAAATCAGCAATCAACGATATTACAATATGTAAAGGAAAGGAGGGTCATTCAACCCCTATTTATGTTGCTGCTGTGCTGGTTTCCCCTTCTGTGTTTGAACTCAAATGTATACCCTGCTTAATAATTAACTCCTTAGGTAGCCTTGTACATAGGTTCCCTCAGCTAGCTGTCTCCAGCATCTCAGTTGGCTGTCCACTTTCCATCCTCGCCTAACTCATCCCAACCTTTGTTTTATTGCACTGTAATAAACCAACATGTTGTCTGTATGTTGTCTAAAAACTGCACAGTTTTCAATGTGGATAATAAAGTCTCCCTTCATCTTCTTACCTTGTCACAGGTGCCATGCAGGATGCAGGCCTGGGGACACAGAGGGGTGGCGCAGTCGGCTCCTCCCCAGCCCAGGTGGCACTGGCACAGGGATGAGGCTGTGTCACAGCGCCCGTGACCTCCGCAGGCTCCAGGGCACACAGAGAACGAGTAGGTGGCATTGAAGCCCAGGAGGTTGTAGTTGGCATCGCTGAAGAGGTGGAGCAGCATCTGGAGGGAGGACAAGAGAGAAAGGATGTGAAGGGGGCAATTAACAACTTTATTTTATTTTTTTCATGATATTGTAATCCATCCAGCCCGTCGAGTCAGAAACCTCTAGCTGTCACTCTGAATTATGTGTGCTGAAATGAATTGAGGCCATAGAAACCCATCAATCCATCCATCCATCCATTTAATGCTGGTATGAAAAGTTTCCCCACTCAAATCCCCAGCAGTCGGAGGTTGATATCCGACATCTCAGAACATGTCTAGTTCCCCCTTCCATAGATAATGATGTGGTTACCTTGCCAGACTTGGCTTCTATGGGCTGCGGCAGGGTGGTGCCACTCAGACTGGCCAGTAGGGGGCTCTGGTAGGAGTCTCCATCGTAGACGAACAGGTAATCGTAGGTGCATTCTGTCTCCATGAAGGTGAAGTTCAGGACGATACGGTAATTGCTGCTGGGGGCTTGGAGAGAATACAGGAAAGAAACGTCAGTCTGATATAATTTAGAGTTTACTTAATTTGCTCTACACAGGAATTTCCTTGGCATATCTTTGGGATCCATGTATTCACATTAAACTGACATCAACCAAGACAACTAATCTATCAACACACACTTATCACAGCACTCAGTTTTCCCACCAGTGTCTCACTCACCTTTGATGAGCCACTCGCAGTTCCCGTTTACAGAGTAGTTCCCTGGCCCATCTGTGACGTACCCTGGGGGGCCCCTCAGCACCTGTCTGTGGCCCTTACAGTCTCCTGCCCAACACCCAGGGGCCACAGTCACCAGCAGCAACCCCAGCAGGGGGCCATGGAGGAGGGAGGCCATCCTCTCCCCCACCTGGAATAAGTGGAGAAGGTGAAGAAGATGGGGTTGTCCGATTATCTTGCTCACAAGCCGGGAACCTAGAAATTGTTAAAAAAGCAATGCAACTTCAGTGAGATGGACTACATTGCTACAAATATTTTATAAAGAGGTTACATTTCAACATAGGATGAAAGATGCTCTAGTTTTGCCTATATGTCACATCAGTGTTGCATTCTGGTTACAGCACCATATGCACAGAGTCAAATATCTAAAACTCGATTGGCATTAGGCAATAACTTGCAATCAAAAATCTGCCAAATATATATTGCAGTCACATACTGCAGTAACCAAACAAGCTAAAAAATGTGTGCTGGCAGGTAGAGAAGAGATTATTTAATTTATGTCCATGGCACAGTGACAACTTAAGGAATGTGCTTTTCATATGAGACTAGTGTTACTACTGATCCAATTATTTATGTCTCTAAGAAAGGTAAATTAATTATTCACATTTTGTAAAGTGACAACAGTCAGAGCCAGAGGTTATATAGTAAACTGACAACGTGTCACCCCCACATTGTAGAAGATTCGGCTTCTGTCAATATGACAAAATCTCATTTATTTAAATTTCCGACATATTCAAATAGTTCCTAGTTACACTTTAATAAATTAATACGTTTTCTATATAGATATTCATAGCGAATCATCGTCGCAGTTATTCTGTCTATGGGTGCTGCTCTGTTTCTAGCTTACTAATCAGCAAACATCTCAATTGAATCACGTTTCGCAAATCATTTTAAAGAATACAAAAACGCATATATAGCTAAATGCCAGGAAACGGTGAGCGAGCAGCTAGCTAGTAGCTATCAAAACAATGCTAACTATCCGCAGACAAACGCTAACTAACTAGCTAACGTTACCTGTTATTGCTATGGCTAGCTAACGTAATGTCATTAGTTGGCTAACGTTAACAGAATAGCTAAATACAAACTTTGCACGTTGCTAGTAGCTAGTTAGTTATAACCAGATAGCCAGCAAGCGAGTATTGAACGTTAGCTAGCGTAGCGGATTTGCTGTTATCTTGAAAGCGACACCAATCACCACACTAGTAGAGCCTAGAACCGTTACATTAGCTTACCTTCCCATGCATTTGTGATACTCACCAGATCCCGTGTCTCCGTCCCCATGATATTTTACATTGTCAGTGAGTTGTGAGCGACACAATGCAAAACTGCTTGTGAGATAGCTAAGGTTAGCTAGCAATGGCTACCAAAGAGGGTCGTCGGAATCCAGCACTGGCCTCCAGTCCCCGGCGTCCGGAATCACGGGAGGACACGGACCACCCTCCGTAGGGGCTCGCGCTTACTGGTTGGCTGCTAGCCAGTTAGCGAGCAAGCTAACTTTACTCCAGATACAAAAGCGCAGTCGTTGGCCATCTATTCAATGATGGTTAGCTAAATCATAATAATAATGAAATATGTCTGTCGCAGCTTCAGACACATCTTCATAATTTAGCCATAATGTATGCTCTTACGCCTTAGCACACCAGCCAGCGTGAAATGTTACTTGCTTATTGCCTGACGCCAGGTGATGTTTGTTGTTTTTGTATATGGCAGCCTCCCACACAAAAGGCTCCTCTTCCTCTTCTTTAAAGTTTTATGGCACACTACACCTATTGGTGTATTGCCGCCACCTACTGTACGGGGTATTGAAACAAAAACAAAAAATATTCCATTGTACGCGCTGCTTCTTCTTCTTCTTTAAGGTTTTATGGCAGACTATAAAAATACAAACTCTAGTTTCCCATAGTATGTTAAAAAAAAGAAAAGAATGAATGAATAATGAATAATATAAATAAAATCAATTTGATTGAGAGCAAAACACTTCGGCATTCACTCAAACCTAAGACAATGAAAAGTAAGAAATTATCATAATGCATTATTTCATGTCATATGATCAAATTGTCACTTAGATTTTTATTTGAAACATTACATCAAGTCACTATAATATCATACAACACTGTCAAGAAAATATGCAATCATGTGCCTTATTAGATTATTTTTTTTACATTAGATGAGCAAATTAAGCATCATATAGAATAGGCTTGTACAAAGACTAAGACAATTTGGCATAGACTAATTAGTAAATGAATGGTACCCGAACTACCCGCACTGACTCCATCTTGCACTGACCCTACATAGACTCCCTAGACACACATATATATATACTGTATATACACATCCATGTTAGGCTGCCTTCTATAACATGTGACCTCTATATAAGTGAGTACTACTACTGCCTATCAGCTATTGAACCAGACTCTTAGCACTCTGTAGTGACTGTCACACTGCCCTGTCAGGCAGTATGAATGGTCACCTTGGCCGGGTTAACCTCCATCGGGGTGCTGTGGAGCCCAGGACCAAATATGGGGAACACTCTCTCTGTAAACTCGTGTGTGAAGGTGCACAGGTGCTTCCCACCGTTGCCTGCGTCCCAAAATGACACCTCCCCCTTATCCATGTTTAGCTTGACCCGGATCCTCTCCGGCCGCCTCTCCACGGCCAGCACTGTGCGTTTGCCCGTCAGGGCGTTGTACACCCCTTTGCTCAGCCCGATGGTCCACACGCCCCTGTCTGTGGACACGGTGAACTTCCTCTTGCGAGCCACAGACTCCTTACAGACTCCCAGGATCCACTTTGGGTTGTCTCCGACATGGACCTCCCAGCGGTGCTTGCCGGAGCGGAAGCCCTCAGCTCCAAGGACGAAGACACAGGGGTCGAAGCGCTCGGGGTTGTCCGGGAGGGACTGCCGCTCTGGGCTGTCCCGTACGCTGGCCAGGTCTGGGGACAGGGAGAGCCAGGGAGAGGCCGTGTTAGGGTCCATCACCACTGGGACTGGAGAGAGAGAGAGAGAGATGTGTTACAAAACATTATGATTGAAGCGTAACTGTTGCTCAAAGTGTTTCCTCCTTCATTCAAAACATTGACCCCTTACACGTTATATAGCCATCCACACCCATTGTATTGTGTGTCATAACTTATGTATCAAGTTATAACCCTAACCTAACCCCTTGTCCTTTAGTACATGTACTCACTGCATGTGACGTGAGCCTGCATGCTCTTCCAAATGCTGTAGCCCAGAGAGCCCACGTGCTTGGCCATGTTCAGGAGAGCATCTGAAGGATTCTGGGGGTCTTCACGAGGCCACTGGGCTCTGTGAAAACATGCCATCATAGAAGATGACCATGATATTAGAAGGAGGGTACATGAACTGTAGGGCAACTGATAGGATGTTACTGTACTTACTTTTTCTTTAAGGCTGGGAAGTTCTGAAAAATAACAACACAATTGAATCCATTAGTTCATTGTGAATAAGATCGACAAATGCATCCGTTCAAAAATGTCTCACTGTCATGCACAGTGACAATGTACAGTTAGGATGAGAGAGGGAGACCCCACCCCTATGAGGGGACCCCTCCTGCTTACCTTCAAGAAGGTTAAATCCTCTGCCCCCATCTCCCTCTTCACTGTTTGGACCAGCTTAGTGAGGGCAGCGATGTCATGGGTCAAGGAGTTGATCCTGTCCTCCATACTGGATCTCTTGTCCTCCTCCTCGTCTGCCAGGGCCTTCAGCCTGGCAGCCTCCTCTACACACAGCACCTGATGGAGCCTCACAAACTCTGCCTTGATCTGCTTCTCTGCCTGTTCGGCCTGGCTCTGGGTACGAGAGAGGTTGGAGGAAGAGTGATGTTCTGTAATGATACTGACATACCTCTCGTCATTCATATCTCATACAACATTACTCATCTATAGACTATAATTATAGTTTCATCTAGAGGCTTTCCTGGAGTTTTTCCTTGTTAGGACTCCAGGCCCTAGGTTTGATCTACAGTCAACTATTCTGTTTATTTCCCATTCTTTCTGGAGGCTCAAGGACTCTCAGCTTGTCCATACTCATAACCAGTCAAACAGGTTGGTTCACATATCTCATTACAGAACAAATGACAGTATGATGAACATCAAACTGTTGGGCTCTGGATAGGGCACACCCATCTAGATATAACTAGTGAGGGCATCAAAGAGTTCTAACAAATCCCATTATTTTACACAAAACCTTCACCAAGATTTGTCCACATGACATTGACACATGGGCATTAGTCATGGTAATGGGTAGGTCCTACTGTGTAGATGTCAGCAGGTCAAGCAGATACAATATTATAGTACCTTTATGAAATCGACTGTGTTAGGGCATTTCTTTTTCATTCTCTTGAAGGACTCCACTTTCTCCTCCAATATGTTGACTTTAATGGTCAGTTCTTCCTGCAATAGAACACATAAAACACAATTAATATCCATATTAGTTTGTGATCTAGTGACTACCAGATAATAAAAAAACATACATCAACTTATTTGCAGTATTGTTTCAGGTCCTAAGCAATTGGGTGTTGACTAAGGGGGGGGGGGGACTCGGGGCAATAAAGCGTTGTTTCACACTGCAGGCCTTAATGCTGAAATCAGTTTTGTTTTTCAAATCTGTTTTGGAATGCTGACTGTCCAAACAGCAAGTTACAAGTGACCAAATCAGATGTGTGGGTTCAACAGCAGTCATTTGCTGACATGGCTACGCTAGTTGTCATAGTAACGACAGGTGTGGCCACAGTGGTGTAGGCTGATTGGTGGTGGTGCTCGTGGTTCCTATCACTCAGAAGTTATGTAGCAAGCTAAGGAGACAACAATGCCTGCCGGGAAAGTTTTATTGCTATAAGCACTAACTTGGGGAGGGAGAGCAATGGCGGAAGCAGAAGCAACGCTTGATTCTGTTGGTGCGAGTGAAGATAGATATTTCAGTATTTCACTAATATCCTCTAAGAATGGAGCTAAAAGGGCTAAAGTTGTAAATGAAGATAAGCTTCAGTATGATAACGCCTCATTCCTTGTTGGAGTGCGATTCATGAGGAAGGATGTTTTTTGGGGAAACCCGTTTGCGGTCACAAAGATGGTGAAGGATGCATTGGGAGAAGTGGAGTCAGATTGACCAGGAGTGGTATGATGTTGATTTCATGTGTGTCAACAGAACAAAAGGAGAAAGCACAAATTATCAATGTATGAAGTGGAATGCTATGATTATCGGAGTAGGTCACCAATAAAAGGTGTCATATCTGGCATCTCTATGGCTATTGAGGCTTCATGGTTTTAAGATGCACATGCCAGGAGTAGTTGATTCACGTCGCTTAACCCACACTGTGAATGGAAAGGAGGAAAACCTTTCTGTGTTATTGATGTTTGATGAAGAATTTCTCCCAACCCATGTAAAGCTGGGCTATATGAGATATGTGGTGCGAGCTTATGTACAAAAGCAACTTCAATGTCATAAATGTAAAAAGTTTGGCCATGTGTCAAGTGTTTGCAAACGGAATATAATTGATGAAGAGTCTGAGGATGCACAATGTTACCATTGTGATGGGAATCACGTTCCAGAGTTCCCTGAGTGCCCTGTTAGGGTGAAGGAGGTTGAAGTAGCAAGGATCAGGGCTGTTGAGAAGGTCTCTTATTCAGAGTCAGTGAAAATTGTCGAAGCAGTGAGTAGAGATGATGAAGCTATGGCAGTGGATACCCAACAGTCTGTGGATGTCAGTCAGTTGAGAGATCCTGAAACACTGATCGTGAAGGTTGATTTTGTTGCGTTCATTGCGCAGGTGTTTAATTGTACAGGACAAACTAACAACAACAAAAATCAAAGAAACTGGAAATCATTGTGAAAGCGGCTAAAAGTTTCTTAGATCACCAGGATTTCACATCTGAAACTTTGCAGGGAATAATGTCTGAAGATGCTTCCCCCTCTCAGGCCCCAGAACCTGTGTAGGGATCGGAGTACATTTGACTATGTGAAGGAGTACATTGACTTTTGTTTTGTTTTTTGAGAATAATATGAGTGTTTTATTTTGTATTATTATTATTTATTAATTTTCGTTCTCAGTTCTACCCCACCCAGTAGGTGGCGACAATACCCTTTTGGATGTAGTCCGCCAATACAATCTTGAAGAAGAAGAAGACCTGCCATGGACGTTTCCCAGGTGCTTTGAATGTTCCAAATCATAGCGTAAGAACACTTTTAAAGCCTCAAAGGATAAGATGATCCAACTTTCAAAACGAGTCCTTTTTGGCTAGCCACAGCAGTTCAGACACAAGTCGCATGCCCAGGAATCAGATTTGTATCTGACTTCAAACCACCTATGAAGGGCCAAAGCGGTGAGGGAGTAGCGCCCTTCTCAAATGAACAGTAATCTGCAGCGCTTTATCATGTTGTCAACAAGGCAGCATGGTGCATCGTTCAGAAACATACAACATCTATTTTCCATAAAATAAATGTTATAATTTTCAAAATAGTTTTCATTGGGAAGACAGATAAAGCGTTTTTTATTAAAAGCAATCACTTTGTATGTCAAAACACAGCATCCTATTAATTACTCCACGTGCTTAACCTATGTCAATTTTTGTTTTGAGCCGACTTCGGCGTCGGCCAGAGCGTGGCACCTGGCTCAAGCCCGGGAGGCAAACCGGTCCAAAACGAATGCAATCACTTTTCACCCGCCCACAAACTCCTCCCACCGGGGAAACCGGGCCCAGATAATCGAATCTCCTCACTCTCACCTTACAAAACGGCGCCCCCATGTTGAGTGGCAGCAGCTCGTGAGTCCGATGTAGAGGGACACAGTCGACGCACACCGGCTCCTCGTCCTTTACGCAGTAAAGTTGAAGCTCCAAACGGTGCAGGTTACAAAGAGACACGTTACTGATTGCGTTCCGTCCCCGCCAGCCCTTCTCTTTCTGAAAGGACTCGGTGGCGGCCATCAGCGCCCGGTTGGAGATTGGTTGCTCGCCGTCGCAGCTCTTCCTGCACACGGGACACTTCTGCCCCGGCACCTTCCAGCATTGTTCCAAGCACTCCTTGCAGAAGCTGTGGCTGCAGGAAAGAAGCACGGGCTCCCGGTAAAGATCTTTACACACCGGACAGGTCAGGTCCTCCTGAAGGAGGAATGAACCCTCTGACATTTCCTAATTCCAAGCACTTTCAGCCATGGTGTCGCTGTCCGCTCTGCAGGCCCTTTCAGATAACGCGTAAAGTTTACTTTCGCTTTCTTCAAAATGCTCCTTTTTATACGCTGACAGTTGTCCAGAGACACTCTTCCGTTCTGTTTTGACGGTTTTCCTTTATTCTTTGTAGATTTGTTGACGCCAACACAAAACTTTAGTTTGGAAACAGGTAAAATTTGCCTTTTTGGAGAGCCGTAACCTGGAGTTCCAACTGTGACCTCCCTTCAGACTTCCTTCCGCAATGGAGTGGGTGTGTGTATGGTGCACAACAGTCCCTAGCGGAGTTTAGGGTGTACAACCATGTATTATACACGTTGCTATTGAATTGGTACAAGTTATGCAAAGTAAAGTATACATGATTGAATGCTGTGTCAACATGCATTACATTTTGCACATTGTGCCAGCGGGTAAAATTGCTGCTGTCATTGTTCCAACCTTATTCCCACAATCCATGAAATCCTCCTAAATAGATTTAGGCCTAGAAATAGACTACATGTATGTTCATTATCAATATTTTCTCTCCAACAGAGGGAGCCCAAACCTTTTTATAAATGATGCTCATAAGAGTTTTACCATTGTTTGTGATTTATGAATCACATTTATTTAATGACATTTTTTCCAGTATCAAATATTTCTAAATGCAAAAATTTTTAATACACGTGATTTCTTATTTCTATATTGTGAAGAGTTTAAGACATTTTTATTATTGTAAGTATATTTAAATTAAAAATCAGTGACAGTAAGACCTGAATTCCACATTATGTGATTGCAAGTGTCTCACTGTCAATGAAATGATCTTCATCTGCTGGATGAGTCACTCCATGGCCCCACTCTGCATCAGGGTCCATCACCATGGAAACTTCTTATTTTTCAATATTTCCAATAATATTTATTTATTTATACAAGTTCTCATTATTTCAAAAAACAAATCGAATCAGTCAGGCTTTAGACACACTACATGGTTGAGCACAGTTATTACAAAGTAATACTGGTTTTATATGTTGCTAATAGGATCTGATCCCGTGGTCTGACTGGCTACCATTTCAGCGCTGAATCTCCCTTGCGTTTTAGCAGACACTCTTATCCAGAGTGACTTACAGGCGCAATTATGGTTAAGTGCCTTGCTCAAGGGCACAGACAGATTTTTCACCTAGTCAACTTGGGGATTTGAACCAGCAACCTTTCGGTTACTGGCCCAACACTCTTAACCGCTAGGCAACCTCCCACCCCTTGTGGTCTGTGTGTAGTAGCCTTAGACACAATATGACATCATTTGATCGTAATAGCAGTGCTTGACTGAAATAGGTGCCGGTACTCATTTTGGGTGCCGGTACTGTTTATATTTAGGTGCAGGAGCTCCAAAATACTTTTTGATTTAATATTTTATAAGAGGAACCGGAACTCAAGCTGTATTCTGCTCAGGTAAGCTCGGGCCCAAGTCAAGCACTGAGTAATACTAGTATGAAACCAACGCTTTAAGCTTAAAAGGCCTCAGGCAAAGAGACACACAGGAAACCCACAAAAGTGCAGCAGACTATGTAAAAGGGTTATATGCCCGTCCCCTACACACACACACACACACACACACACTATAGGGATCACACGCTACAACATCCTCAACACACACATCTAGACCAGACCATATATAAAAATATATCTGTGTGGATCTGTTGTGGACTCTACAAACTAATCTCTGTCACACAAAGGCTACAGCAGAGCACACACTACACATCACCCCAGTGGCCAAACACACACAGACACACCATGTCTGTGGATGTACACCCCTGTCAAGTTGATGATTGGAGAAATAGGCATAATTACTCTGGTAATGAAGCAATTACTCAGAATATAATTGATAGCAAGGATATCAGCTCCTGTGCAAGATTTAACAGGGTTCAGATGATTACAGATGACTAGAATAATATTGCTATAGTTTCATATCTAGATAGAGCTTGTCATCCCCTTTGATTCCAGCTGTGTCTGACTGTGTCAGTGTGTCAGGTTAGCGGCTAGCTGTGTAATGGCTGCTCGTTTCACTGAGCAGCCATTAGAGATAGACGACAGGCAGGCAGGCGGCAGTGGAAAGAAAGGGTGAGGAAGTGGGCAAGTTTAGGGTTTTAAGTGGCACAGTGGTTCAGAGAGAGAGAGGTTCCCTTATGACTCATCTTTGACATTAATAATAATAATAACAGTACATTTTATTTCAATTGCTTTTCACAACACTCAGTCACATTACATACACAAGAAAATCAGCAGGATAAAAAGCAATACAATCACACATTAAAATAAGTAGGTATATAAAAGTACACTAAACATGAGGACAGACTAACCATGGAGAACACTAAACATGAGGACAGACTAACCATGGAGAACACTAAACATGAGGACAGACTAACCATGGAGAACACTAAACAGACTAACTAGGGACGTTAACTACAGAGGGTAAAAGCTAAGACAACAGAGAATCCAGGTAAGCCTTTACACTCAGAACAAAAAAGGTACTATCTAGAACCTAAAAGGGTTATTCGGCTGAGCCAATAGGAGAACCCTTTTTGGTTCAGGTGTGGTGCCTAGTTGGAACAAAAGCCTGCAATACCTGTGGCACTCCAGGAACAGGGTTGCCTACCCCTGCCCTAGACCCTTTGACTGAAAAAAGATTTGAGTGTGTCAGAGTACTCATCTCAACATGACAATCGAAGGCTGAACCATCCACTCCAACTCCACAGTCAGGAACCTTGGTGTTACACAAATTCAACTTTTAAGAAGGCACACCTGTTAATTGAAATGCATTCCAGGTGACTACCTCATGAAGCTGGTTGAGAGAATGCCAAGAGTGTGCAAAGCTGTCATCAAGGCAATGTTGGACGGGCAAGGAGGAATGGCTGAGTCAAATAGGAATCCTGACTTAATGAAGTGGTGATTAAAGAGCTCAGCCATGTGCTCCTTGTCAGTAACAACCACATCATCAACATTAAGGTACATGGGCAGCTGTGAGGAGGAGGGTTTATTCTCCAGGTCTTTAACCGTTTTCCAGAACTTCTTGGGGTTAGACCCACAGAGAGAGAACTGCTCCTTAAAGTAACTAACTTTGGCCTTCCGGATAGCCAGAGTGCACTTATTTCTCATTTGCCTGAACGAGAGCCAGTCAGCCTGAGTATACGTGGGTTGAGCCTTTCGCCAAATGGAATTCTTGAGGTGGAGAAACTCTGCCAGATCACAGTCGAACCAGGGGCTGAACCTGTTTTTAATTCTCATTTTCTTTATGGGGGCGTTTGTTAACAATACCGCTGAAAATATAAAAAAAATTAGGTCCAAGCGTCTTCGACAGAGGGGATCAAGCTGATTCTATACCAATTTACAGAGGCCAGGTCATGAAGGAAGGCTTGCTCATTCAAGTTTTTTAGCAAGCGTCAATGACAAATCAGGACAGGTCGTTTCACTGAGCAACTATTAGAGATAGACGACAGGCAGGCAGGCGGCAGAGGAAAGAAAGGGTGAGGAAGTGGGCAAGTTTAGGGTTTTAAGTGGCACAGTGGTTCAGAGAGAGAGAGGTTCCCTTATGACTCATCTTTGACATTAATAATAATAATAACAGTACATTTTATTTCAATTGCTTTTCACAACACTCAGTCACATTACATACACAAGAAAATCAGCAGGATAAAAAGCAATACAATCACACATTAAAATAAGTAAGTATATAAAAGTACACTAAACATGAGGACAGACTAACCATGGAGAACACTAAACATGAGGACAGACTAACCATGGAGAACACTAAACATGATGACAGACTAACCATGGAGAACACTAAACATGATGACAGACTAACCATGGAGAACACTAAACATGAGGACAGACTAACCATGGAGAACACTAAACATGAGGACAGACTAACCATGGAAAACACTAAACATGAGGACAGACTAACCATGGAGAACACTTCCCTAGTTTGTCTGATTAGTGTTCTCCATGGTTAGTATGTCCTCATGTTTAGTGAACTACAGAGGGTAAAAGCTAAGCCTGTATGAAGAGGTGTGTCTTCACACTCAGAACAAAAAAGGTACTATCTAGAACCTAAAAGGGTTATTCGGCTGAGCCAATAGGAGAACCATTTTTTGTTCAGGTGTGGTGCCTAGTTGGAACAAAAGCCTGCAATACCTGTGGCACTCCAGGAACAGGGTTGCCTACCCCTGCCCTAGACCCTTTGACTGAAAATAGATTTGAGTGTGTCAGAGTACTCATCTCAACATGACAATCGAAGGCTGAACCATCCACTCCAACTCCACAGTCAGGAACCTTGGTGTTACACAAATTAAACTTTTAAGAAGGCACACCTGTTAATTGAAATGCATTCCAGGTGACTACCTCATGAAGCTGGTTGAGAGAATGCCAAGAGTGTGCAAAGCTGTCATCAAGGCAAAGGCTGGCTATTTGAAGAATCTCAAATATAAAATATGTTTTGATTTGTTTAACACTTTTTTGGTTACTACATGATTCCATATGTGTTATTTCATAGATTTGATAGATTCACTATTATTCTACAATGTAGAAAATAGTAAAAATAAAGAAAAACCCTTGAATGAGTAGGTGTTCTAAAACGTTTTACCGGTAGTGTATATAGACAAAATGAATTACTTTTTAACAATTCTGATTTTTCAGGGGGTGTTGCAGCACCCTCAGCACCCTTGGCTATGAGTGTAGGGGTGCAGGAGGTCAGTAAGGTATGTGGGCGCCAGTCCATTGAGTGCTTTGTCGGTGAGCATGAACAATTTGAAGATGATCCTGTATTGAACTGGGAGCCAGTGGAGTTTAATAAGGGTGGTGGTGATGTGGTCCCCGAGGTCTGGTGTATGTGAGGACTCGTGCAGCTGAGTTTTGAATATGTTGAAATCTGTCCAGTGTTTTGGTGGGGAGTCTGTAGAGAATGGCGTTGCAGTAGTCCAGGCGTGATAAAA